TCCCCCGCAAGCTGAGGCGTGAAGGTCACGAACACCCAGCTTGGACAAAAGGAAATGAAACTGCTCCCCACCTAATCATTTTGTGAGCAGATCCGCAAGTTGAAGCTCCGACCGGACTTTGACCGGGAGAATGTCGCGGGACTGAACACGTTCTCGAACAAAATAACAATCCATCTCCACATGCTTGGTGCGTTCATGGAAGACAGGATTGTTGGCGATATGCAAGGCTGCTTGGCTATCACAGTGGAGAGGAGTAGGATCAACTTGAGGAACACCCAACTCTGAGAGAAGCCAACGGAGCCACAGAACTTCACTAACCGTGCTAGCCATGGCACGATATTCAGCTTCAGCAGAGGAACGAGCAACAACTCTCTGCTTCTTGGTGCGCCAAGATATGGGAGCGCCACCAAGACTGATGAAATATCCCGATGTGGAGCGCCGAGTCTGTTCGCACCCTCCCCAATCTGCGTCACAGTACGCAGTAAGACGGAGAGGATTGTTTGTTGGGAAAAACAAGCCCTGTCCTGGAGAGGTTTTGAGGTACCGAAGGACCCGGTAGGCTGCATCCAGGTGCTGTTGACATGGAGCATTAACGAACTGGCTCAGAATGTTAACCGCATAGGTGATGTCGGGCCGAGTGACAGTGAGATAAAGCAGTCGACCCACTAGACGACGATATGGAGACGGGTCTGGAAGAAGAGCTGTGCTCGGCCGAGTGAGGTGATGGTTCTGCTCCATAGGAAAAACACTAGGTCGAACACCTTGAAGCCCGGCATCTTCAAGAATGTCCAAGACGTACTTGCGTTGACTGAGAACAGCCCCAGTAGCTGTGCGAGCGAATTCAATGCCCAGGAAATACCGAAGAGAACCCAAGTCCTTGATGCTGAACCGCTGATCCAAGAACTTCTTGACCCGAGATATGAAAGGCAAATCATTACCAGTCAGGATAACATCATCCACGTAGATGAGTGCAGCAACAAAAGTACTGCCGTGGTGATAGATAAAAAGTGAGGCATCCGCGGGGGAAGACCGGAAACCGAACTCACAGAGCGCCGCGGTGAACTTCTGGTACCAGTTTCGGGATGCCTGACGAAGACCATAGATGGATTTATGGAGACGACAAACCCGAGTGTCACCAGGGGCACGAAAGCCTTGAGGTATCTCCATGTAAACTTCTTCCTCAAGATCACCGTGCAGAAAAGCATTATTCACATCCAACTGGTGAATATGCCATCCACGACTAACCGCGACAGCTAAGAGACACCGAACAGTTACCAATTTGGCCACGGGTGCAAAGGTATCGTGGAAATCGAGACCTTCAATTTGGGTGTACCCTTTGGCCACTAGGCGAGCCTTGTACCGCTCAATGGTACCGTCGGGGTAGAACTTGATCTTATAAACCCATTTGCAAGCAATAGCGCGCTTCCCTGGAGGAAGAAAGACGAGGCTCCAAGTGCCGTTCTTCTCCAGAGCAGCAATCTCACGTGCCATTGCCTCGCGCCAGCATGCCTCGCGAATCGCCTGGTAGAAAAAGCGAGGCTCGTCGAGACGTGTTTGAGCTGCAAGGAAAGCAAGGTAAGTGGGTTTAAAATGATCATAATTAACATAGTTTGCAAGGGGGTACTGAACGTGATGAGAAGTACTTCCCTGTGCATTATCGGATGGAAAGCTGGTTTCAAAACCATCAAAATGCTTGGGACGCCGCCGATGGCGATCACCACGCCGGAGCTCAGGACCGTGGGCCGGAGCATGCTCAACAGTCACCAATTGCTGAGGAGAGTGAGGCTCGGCCGCAGGACTACTTGCGGGCCCAGATTGAGAGCCTGGGGAATTCGGCCCAGGATTAAGTGAAGGTGGACTGGTGCTGGGTGAGTCCACGACAGGAGAGGGTGTTTTGGGTGATGCTGGACCCGATGCTGTTGGGCCGGGTGATGGCTGAGCTGGCCCAGGCGGCTGCGTCCCTGTGGTATGGGCTAGCCGTGCAATTGGATGCAAGGGGGAGGCATCAGCAGTGTCTTCTACTGGCTGAATAATGGGACGGGGTACCCAATGAAGCTGTCCCTCAGTCCCGTCTTGAAACGGGAAAATAGTCTCGCGAAATTTTACATCACGCGAGGTCAACAGTTGATGTGTAGATAGGTCGAAGATGCGAAAACCTTTTTGGCTGGCCGCATAGCCAAGGAATACCCCAGCCCGACCTCGTTCACCGAATTTGTCAAGATGGGCATGCGTGTCCTTGTAATACACAAGGCAACCAAACACACGCAGATGCTGATAGGTAGCTGGCCGTCCAAACAGAAGCTCATATGGTGTCTTGCCGGTGGCTTTTGTTGGTAGGCGATTGATGAGGTAGACTGCTGTGAGAATGCATTCTCCCCAAAATTTTACCGGAAGACTCGCTTGGAATCGCAAAGCGCGGGCAGTGTCAAGAATGTGACGATGCTTCCTTTCGACAACACCGTTTTGCTGTGGAGTGTCGGTACAAGATGTTTGGAGTAGAATCCCCATATGAGAATAATAGTCGCGGAGAATGTCGGTGTTGAATTCTCTGCCATTATCTGCTTGTATTCGTCGGACAGCTTTGTGAAACTGATTGCGCACCATGCTGCAAAAACTCATCAAATACTTTCCAACATCTGATTTATAACGTAAGAGATATACCCACACACCTCGAGAATAATCATCAACAATTGTGAGAAAATAATAAGCACCACTAAGAGATGGAGTCTTGTATCCTCCCCAAATGTCAATATGAATAAGTTCAAAGCAAGCCGACGTTTTAATCATGCTAGACTGAAATGGATCACGAGTCTGTTTAGCCCGTGCACAAGAATGACAAAAATCACTAGTTTGAGTAAAAGTGACCGACAATAAATGACCCAAAAAAGAAACCTTTGAAAACGAAGGGTGCCCCAATCGTGCATGCCAAATAGATTCTGAAACCGAGTTGCGCCTATCCACTGCACAAGCCTGTGCTCGCCCGGAACCAAACAAGCGCAAATAGTAAAGACCGTCCCGGAGCTCACCCTTCCCAATCAATTTCTTGGAGCGTAAGTCCTGGATCACGCAAAAAGAGTCAAGAAAGATCAAGGCAACATGGTTATCTTTGGTCAAGCGGCTGACCGATACAAGATTACAACGGAACTCGGGCACATGCAGAACCCGCCCAAGTGTGAGACCTGCCTGCAACTCAACTGAGCCCACATGTTTAACCGGAATACTATCACCATTTGGTATTCGAACAGGTGGGCCATTAACAGGAACTTCTTTACTAGTCAACATAGATTCATCCATCGTAATATGTTCGTTGCAACCCGAATCAATCAACCATTCTGACTCAAAGGAAATTATACCTGCCATGTTCGCTGCGGGATCATCGGCTGCCTTGCCAGAGTAGCCAAAGAATTGCTTAAGCTGATCAAGTTGCGCCAAAGTAAAACCTGCGACAGGGCTGGCCTCTGCATCCACTTGCGATGCCTTTGGTTCCCGGCTCTCACCCGAGCCTTTATTTCGATGTCGATCACGATCTCTGGGAGGCCTGTCGCCTTGCTTCTCACGCGGTGGGTAGCCAATGAGCTCCCAACAGTTCTCACGTACATGACCTAGGCGTTGACAATGAGTGCAACGTGCCCGCTCTCGTTGCTCCCCCGTGCTGCGAGCTTCCCCAGCACGGCGCTGGTCCTTTTCTGCTTCTCCTTTGGCCACGAACACAGCTGCCTCTGGTTGTTGTTGCCGATTCTGAGTAAGGGTCTTTTGATGCTCCACATTCAGAATCATATTAAAAGCTTCGGTGAGTGTAGGCGTCGGCCTCATGGCAAGAATCTGTGTCCGTACCGGCCCGAATGCGTCGTCAAGGCCATCAAAAAGTCGAACAAGCGAGCGCTTTCTTGCTGCTCACGCACTCGCCGGGAAACACCACATGTGCATAGACCGCATGTGCAGATTGGTAGAGGCGAGATGGCCGACGCTTCTTCCCAGTGTGATCGGAGCTTGGTGTAGAAGCTTGACACCGGCTTCTTTTCTTGTTGCAAAAGACTGATGAGCCGCCGCAGCTCATAGGCTCGGGACGAGCTGCCCTGGCCAAATCGCTCACGGAGGTCAGTCCAAATCGTGGCCGCATCCTCAGCAAATCTGATGCTGCTGCGAATTTCTCGATCCATGGAGGTTTTTAACCACCCTTTTACCATCGCGTCGCATCGTAGCCACGCGTTCTTCTCAACGGGGTCCGTAGGTTTGGGGAGACTTTCGTCAACGAAGCAGTATTTGTTTTTAGCGATCAGGGCGTCTTTCATGTCGATAGCCCAATCGCCGTAGTTGGAGGCTGTCAGGATTTCGCCGACTAGCATGTTTCCAGGGTTGTCGGAGTTGTGAAGTTGGAGCACGGACGGAAGACCATCATCAGTGCTGCCTGAATGGGTGACGATACCCTTGTTCTTGTCATCGTTTGCGTCGCCCATGCTCGCCGATAGACAAGGAAACACTGGAACTTAGGGCTCTGATACCATGTAGAAATTGACGAAAAGTAAAGTGAACGCTTGGTTTAACGTGGTTCTTCCTCACAGTAGGTGAGGCTTACATCCACGGAGAACGATCGGGATTTTATTTCATCGTGTGGCCAAGGGCCTTACACATATATTTATACCCTAAGCTACTGACATCAACTAGGGTACAAAGAGGATTCTCAATACATGTTGGAGAAGGTCTCCCGAGAGCAGCAACATGAACGGCATGGGCCGCAGAGGTTGCCTGGCCCAATATTCCTTGATGCGTTTCAATCGTTTAATCAATAGATTCAAGAGTTAGTTCACCTGCTTCGATTCCATTAGGGACGATTGTGTGGCTATGCGATTATATTGTCACAAATTTTTTCTTATGTTTGACAGATTTCATGTTTCACTATTGATTCGAAATTTGGTTATGAGATATATACTAGTAATAATTATGAAGTGATATTATCAGGAAAAAGCATTGAATCAAATGAAATGGACTCAGTAAAACAATATAATGGCTTATTCAAGCTAGTCTACGATCTGTTCATAAGTACCTTTATTGTAAATCTAATAAGATTCACTATTTAGTTCATCAACTAATCGGATTTTTATTAATTTTTTATGTATGAACCCTACACCCTATTTTTTTAAATCCATACCATATTCAATTTAATAAAAAAAATTAGAGCCCTTCTAGTGTGCTCTATAGTACCCATGCTATAAAAAAAGGTTACCTGTTGAGGAGGTAAACCCACTAAATGACTGGTCCCACATCATTAATGGCAATTTTTTAAATAATAAATCAATATATACAAAGGTAGGTACAAATTACAGTTGTACCATATCGTATAGGTACAAGTTTCGGTTGTACCATTGAAGAATTTGTTTCACAAAGTGTAGGTACAATTAATAATTGTACATAGTGTGTAGGTACAATTTTGAGTTGTACCATAGAGGGCTTCGTGAGAAAGTGTAGGTACAACGTAAAGTTGTACCATAGGTATAGGTACAATTTTGAGTTGTACCATAGAGAGGTTTGTGAGAAAGTGTAGGTACAATATAAAGTTGTACCATGGTATAGGTACAAGTTTGGTTGTACCCATAGAAGGATTTTGAGAAAGTGTAGGTACAACTTCAGGTTGTACTATTAGTATAGGTACAAGTTTGCGTTGTACAATGGAATGATTTTTAGAAAGTGTAGGTACAACTTAAGGTTGTACCATAAGTATAGGTACAATTTTCAGTTGTACCATAGAGGGATTTGTTAGAAAGTGTAGGTACAACTTAAAGTTGTACCATAAGTATAGGTACAATTATCAGTTGTACCATAGAGGGATTTGTTACAAAGTGTCAGTACAACTTAAAGTTGTACCATAAAGTATAGGTACTGTTTTGAATTGTACCATAGAGGGATTTGTTAGAAAGTGTAGGTACAACTACTAGTTGTACCATATAGTATTGGTACAAGTTTGAATTGTACCACAGAGAGATTTTTTGAAAGTGTAAGGTTGTATCATAACGTATAGGTACAAGTTCTGTTTGTAAAACCATGCCTATTTATCATGGTATTATCACATAATATGACTAAGCATGGTATTGTCATGGTATCGCAAAACCAAAATCAAAAGCTATCTTGCAATGGAGCATACCAACTTGGGCCAGGTCGTTTCTTTCTCCCTTGCCCTCACCAGCTTCTCTTGGTAACCCACAAATGCACAGTCAGATTGATTCAATCCTCCATACATGCATGCATCATTCCCCTACATTTAGTTTCTGAATCATTGGGTTTTGACTGTTTGCTTCACGGGTTGATGAACCCATCGCCCAGAGTTGCTTCAGCTACTTCGGTTTGGCCTTAGTTTACGACAACATATTCGTTCACAGAAGCCATAAGCTACAGGTAATCAACAAATCAGTTCATCTAAAAACAAACTCTGTTCTTTTCGTGACCTTAGCCCTCAAATATTTTCAGGTTGCTTGGTATTGGTATCTCCTTCAGGGATTCATCGATGTGCAGGGAAATTATCTGGGTAAAGTGACTTCGATAGCACACTTTTTTGCGTAAATTTTCTTTCTTGACTGACTGTTACTCTGCCATGGGTTGTACTCTGTTTTCTCATAAATGTCGGTTGTTCTCTGTTCTGGCCTTTCGGCGGGGCTGCTTGATTTTCGCAGTGAACAAAGCGTACCAATTCTCGTCGATTACGAGTGTGACGTTGCTGGATTGCTGGACCATACTATGGGTCATCATCCTGACGTGGCTGATCCTGGGGACTCGCTATTCCATCCTCCAGCTTCTTGGTTCCGCCATTTGTGTTCTTGGCCTTGCTCTGGTTCTCTTCTCCAACACTTGGGTGGGCGGTGGCGCAGGTGATCCCCTACAACCGGTACAACCGGTTGTCCATACATAAATAAAATAATTTATTAAAAATTTAAATAAGATCTAATGGCTAATATATTTTGAACATGATCTAATGGTTGTAAATGTTTTATAGCACCAATACTATAAAGCACACTAAAATGCCTCAAAAAATTATGGTTATGAATCATCGAATATATAGATAAAAGTTTTACAATGTTTTAAAATATTGCTGATTTAGTCTTTTTCTTTCTTTTGTATGTACAAATTGAAGTCGTACATTTAACATTATGATACAACTACCCTTCTAGTTGTATAAATTGAAGTTATACATTTATGAGTTGAACCATAACATAGAGGTTCAGAAACCCAGTCTGATCGCTTAAAGTTATAGTACAACTTCAATTTGTACCTCAAAACATCAGTACTTTACAGAATAATAGAAGTGATCATATATATATATAGTAGGTATAAAGTATAAACTAAAAAAATACATTATACACAAGACAGACACTAGGTTTGCGAACATATATATTAAAAAAGACATTTGTGAAAGGGATAATAGGGGAAATCCTTGCATATCGTGTCCATTCTTCTGGGACACCATAAGCAGATACGATCCAGCCAAGAGAATCGTTTTCTTGCTTTTCCCTGAAGACCTGCATTTGTATCCATAGAATAATATTTTATAATATGTGAACGAAATGAATCGAGACGCAACATTATCATTGACCAAAATCTGATCAGGCGACAGTGGGTACCGTTTCTAGAATATGCATTGATTGATTTCTTCTTTAATTTCAGTTCTTATTTCCTGCTTTTTTATTCTATTTCCCCTTTTCAACTGAGAGCCCAAATCTAAGGTCTTTGATCCCCTCAACCACCCTAGCCCTCTTCTGGACCAGCATTTGCCGAACTTTTAGTCCCTGAAAAAGTCGCCTCTGTAATCTTTCGGGACTAATCACGTTTTTTGCCATATTGAAGTCTATTTTACTTCTATTTTTAAGTGGTTGATTCACACCGAGAGTCGAGGAAATCATGGGTTATTTTTCCCAACCAATCATGATCAGAGAAGTTATATAAAAAAAATAATGCTCATAAGTTGGGGAAATTCACCTCTCCGTTTGGCCTACCATCAAGATTACCCCTTATTTCCCAAAATAGAGCTAGTGTTGAGGTTGACTGATCGAAATCATTGCATGCGTAGCTTGGGAAATCGTCGTTCCGTATTTTTCGAAGCTAGGGTTTCGTAGTATTCGCTTTCCGTCGGAGCTTATCTATGCATTTATTTTTCATTAAGTTTTAGTAACTTATATATTATTTATTTATTGCTAACTTTTGTACGAAATAATTGGAATTTGTCTTACTATCTTATTACTATTATGAGATTGTGGTGCCTGAGGGAACGAGTATGATGAACTTTAATAGGCCAAAGGGAAAGGGGACATCCCTGTCAATATACATTAATACAACGGTTCAAGGGAAAGATACGTTAGGTGCATGGTTCTCGATAAAACACAAATTTTATATTTTAAGTCATGAAGGGAAGACAAACATTAAGGACTTGATTACAGACACAACACTTAGAATTTCGAAGCAGTAGTGATCCAATGCAAGGAAAGTAATGTTAGAAGCAAGGTTCTCGCTGGCTGCTGCAGGCCACGTACGTTAGTACCCCATGGCTTCAAGAAAGCAGATTGTGATCTTGAGATGAGCCTTACCATTTAAGTGCTTTGAAAAACATTAGCACACAAACTAGCTCTGAAATTAGTGCCAAACAACATATATATAACATTAATGGTAAATGCAGATGGATACAGCAGATAAGTCCACGAACTTAGGATTAAAGATTCAATCGCTTTCAATTAAAAATAATATTACGAGGGTGCCTACTTGTCAGTTGGCCGACATGCAAACGTACAATTGACCGGACCTAACTTTTCGCAGGGGAGTGGCTAAGGCTTTTAACGGCTAGTCTATTTAAATTCGTATGAACTTTTTATATGTAAATTTACCTGTATTTCAAAGTTAAGGGGAGGCTATTAGGACTGCTTATTTGGTTTGGGTTTTTTGGTTTTATCCAAAATCGAATCGTATAACCCGGACCGAGACCGGATAGTAAACAATCCAATTCAATCTTTGGGCTTAGATTTGATGTAAAAAATCGTTCGAGACCGGATCGAAAAAATGGATAAAGACCGGATAAGAGAGCTCAACACCCAAAACTTAAGGGTAATTCGCATAAACGGTCACAAACCTTTACACTTAGTACAAAACTTAACAAACTCCTCACCCTTTCAGGCCGTAGGCCACTCAAATCCCCACAAGCTCAATATAAAATCAAGACCGAATTGGGACCGGACTGGATCAAAACCGGACAGTATCCAATCCAATCTTTGGTCCTTATATTTTAAAAAAGACCGGACTGGACCGGATCAATTTGGGCCAATTTAACCGGACCGGACCGTATAGCCACCCCTAAAGACTATAGACATAGTGCCTCCTCTATATAACCTAGATCCACCACTAGTAAACGTTTAACATTGGTACTCCAGGAATATGGTATACTTTAGAACTATATTATACTCCATAAAGTTGGTATACTTTATAGAAGTATTGTACACACCAGATGATTTAGTCGTTAGATGTATTTCAATGAGCTCCGACCAATATGAATGATAAATTATTGTTAGCTATTAAATAAAACTTCGGGTTTGTGTTTAGGTTTAGAGAATCGAGATATGGAGTTTATGATGTGACCCCGCTTACCCCACATGACGTTACTCGAGCTCAAATTAGATCTTCACATGGACCATGGGCCAAGAGACGAATTAAGAGGTTCAAAGAGATCTTGGGAGCATTCAAGATGGGTGAAAATGGTTGGGCAAGCAAGGCCTACGAGTTTGTTGATGTGAAATCGATTGGCAGAACATATAATTCTCGTGGTCCAAAGATGAAGGCCCGAATACAACGATACAAGGATCAAATGGGATCATTCTTGATGGATATGGATCGAGGAAAGCCCATCACATTACTATAATTTGCGGACCAGAATCACGAGAAGATGGGCTTGGAGAAAGGAGTGAAGATTGGGCCCAAAAGAAGGGAATTCCCCCATGGTGTTAACAGAAGGTGTGAAAGGAACACAAGTGCAAAAGGAATATCAAGTGTGAACAAAAGCGATGCGAGGGAGGAGTTTAAGGCTAGAATTAAGGGTTGAAAAGTCAAATTTGTTTCCTTTTCTTTGTAGGACTTTTTTTACTTGTTTGTTAAGGTTTTTGTTTTCCTTTTTCAAGTAGGAGTGGGTTTTCAAAAAGAGTCATCATCTATTGGAGTAGATTTGGTTATTGGAAGATATTGAAACTCTATCATGTTTCTTACACCTCCATGATATAAAGGAGTGCCAAAGCCTAACACACCATCCAGAAGTCGATCTCCGAGTATCGACACAACCTGCAAAGTCGGCATCTGCGAAAGCTTCCAAAACAAACCGTCCGTCTCGAGGAAATAAGATACCAACGTCCTGAGTACCATGTAGGTACCTCAAAATTCTATGAACTGCATCTAAATGTATTGTACGAGCCATCCCCATAAACTGACTTACCACCTGAACAACATATGCTATGTATGGTCGTGTAGAACTGAAATATCCAAGTGACCCTACGAGAGTTCGATAATATGTCTGATCGTCCAATAAATCTCCACTAGTTCTGCTCCATTGGTGTACTGCAGGGCTTGTAGTTATCGAACTGATATTTTGCCAATAAATTTCTTACATACGTCCGTTGACTTATGAGGATGCCATGATTAGTCCTTTCAATTTCCAAGCCTAGGAAATATGAAACTTCACCTAGCTCCTTTAGTTTAAATGCTTGATGAAGTGATGTAGTAAGTTCTCGAATTACATCTTGGTCATTTCTAGATATAATCATATCATCCACATATAAAAGAAGTATTGTGATGCCATGTACCGTGTTCCGCAAGAATAGTGAGGGATCATTCTGATTTTGTACAAAGACATCTTGCACGATCGTACCATGGAACTTCTCCAACCAAGCTCGCGGCGCTTGCTTGAGACCATATAATGATCTCTTGATACGACAAACTGTGTTAGCATCGCCTTTAGTGTAACCAGGTGGACGAGCCATGTAGATAGTCTCTTTCAAATCAACGTGAAGGAAGACATTCTTCACATCCAGCCGCACAAGCGACCACCCTTTCATCGCTGCAGTTGCTAGAACACATCGAACCGTTTGGATTTTGGCAACTGGAGAAAAAGTCTCTTCATAATCTATCCCATACTCCTGACTGAATCCCTGCGCCACTACTCGTGCCTTATGTTGTTCGATAGCACCATCTGGTTTCATCTTGATTGCGTATACCCATTTACTGCCAACAACAGACATCTCCGGAGTGCGATGAACTAAATCCCATGTCTCATTAGCTTCTAAGGCTTCAGTTTCTTCAATCATTGATGTGTCCCACTCTGGAATACCACATGCTTAACGGTAATTAGCCGGGACAAAGATCGGATCCACGAAAAACCCCACATAATCATGAAGTCTCACTGAGGGCTGCCCTCTTTTAATGCGAGTGGACCTACGGAGTTTTTGATTATCATGCATTTCAGACCCTGCATTCGAGTTGGCGCCACTCTCATCACTCGACTCATTAGATGAAGAGGATGTGGAACTAGAAGATCCCATGGCTGGTGAGGAAGTCCTTTTTTGAGAGGAGGGAGACGATGGACCAAAACTATCATTATCCGTAGTGTTGCTAGAAGATGTCGAAGAAGTGGAATTAGTGGAATTATGGGCACTGTTGTTGTCACTCAAAGAAGAAGAAGATGGCTCACTCTCGTCCCCTCCCTGAGGCGTAGCAGGAGAAGTAGAAAATGGACATAGGAATGTCAAGCTTTGCTCGGAAGCTGCACGATCCGATGACTCGAGGCTTGAATAGAATGGTACGTTCTCCATAAATAGAACGTGACATGCGATACGAAGACGGAGACCCACAGAATCGTAACACATATACCCCTTATACCTGTCACTATAACCCAGGAAGACGCACCGAACCATCTTGGGAGCAAGCTTGTGACGTTCGCGACGTGGTAAGAGAACGAAGCAGAGGCAGCCAAACACGTGAAGACGTCCATAATCCGATTGACAAAAGTAGAGCTTGAAGAATGGTGAGAGATTATCCAACACAGGAGTGACTTGACGGTTAATCAAATGGACTACAGTGTGTGCTGCAACAGAACAAAATGGCGCGCGTAATTTCAAGAACATGAAGATTCTTGCACTCCACGATCCCATTCTGTTGCGATACACCGGGACAGGATTGTTGGGATAAAATACCAGCCGAACCATAAAACCTTAGAAGTTAATTCGAACTGAACCCTCCAGGGATCAGAGCTAATGATCTTTACGGTCTTCTGAAATTGGGTTTGAACCATGCGAACGAAGTCCTGGGCATGCGTAATAAGTTCTGACTTATGCTTCAGGAAATAAATCCATTGCACGAAGGAACAGGCTCGGCACCCTAGAGATTCGTATGAATAAGATCAAAAGTAGATGCATAGACTGTAGTACTGGACGGAAAAGAATTCTGAGAAGCCTTAGCCTTAATGCAGCTCATGCAGGATGGAGGAGAAAAAGAAGAAGTCTGAAATTTCACCGGTAATAACTGATGTTTTAACAATTTAACAACCGAGATGAATGAGGATGCCACAAACGACAGTGCCATAAATCCCAAACCGAATCTCGTACATCGCAATTCACTTTATTACTAACAAAAAAAAAACAGAAATTAAAGACTTCAGCTTCGGCCGCAAAGCCTCTACCACTTCACTCGCACCACTAGAAAAGGAGGAGCTGCCACTATCACCAGAACCACCCGCAAGCTGTGAGCCACTCTGAAGAGAGTCCAACACATAGATTTGAGCCTCTTTATGCCCCCGACCAATATCCTTCCCCGTCCTCGAGTCCTGCACTACACAACGGTGATTCTTAAACCATATTTCACACCCCGCTTCAGCAAGTTGGCCTACGGAAACCAAGTTTGGGACTAGGCGAGGGACATGGAGTGCATTAGCTAGCTGTACACGTAGTTCATATACAACACCTATCCCGGAGACAGGTAGAATAGTGCCATCTGCCACATGTAACTTTTGCTGAACAGGCTTAAGATTGCGCAAAAAACATAGACGGCTACTCATATGATTAAATGCAGCGGAATCGAGAAGCCAACGATGGTTATTACCTGAAGAACTACCAGTTGCAAACGCAGAACTCATCACCTCCTGTAGCGTTTCATGTAGGAGCTTGGTCAGCTCTGCCTTGGAGAACCCAGCCGCAATAGAAGAGCTTGTAGCAGGTAGCTGAGCTGGAGCACCATGGGGAACAGCTGCGAACGACGGAGGAGGGGGACCCGATTGGCGAGGTTGAGAACGTTTCCCATGCTAGCGGCATTTGCTAAGTATGTGACCATCCTGTTTAAAAAAACTACACCAATTCCGCTTCTTGCATAATGGCTAAATATGGCCGGGTTCTCGACAATAGTGGCAGATACGAGCTGAAGGGGGCCACTGACCACCCGGAGTAGAACTGAACTGAGGATGATAAGAGGAGGCAGCGAAGGCAGATAAGTGGTCAAGAGAACCAGGCTGGGGAGAGTCGATCTGCGCCTGACTCTTCAACCGCAGTTCTTCCCTACATAGCTGTTGGTTTCGGCCTCTTGTCGAGAAGAATAGGAAGCAACCTTTTGGCTTGAACAAAAGTGCGGAATTGAAATTCCCAGAGCGGTAAATTCTTCCCATCAAAATGGGACAATGCCCAATCACCCTTCCCTGAATCCATGACAAAGCATTAGAATAATAGCAGTCGAGCAACAGAAGGAACCCCAACAAAATAATAATATCCGAGCAAGGAATAAAACCCTTAGCCAAAGGAGCAAACTCTTAGCAGTACTCAAGACACAATTAGGAGCAGCCAAAGATAACAAGAGACAGAGTGAGGACCGTCCAAAACAAACCAGAATAGCCCAGTACTGCGCAGAACAAGGAAGACAACCACCAATCCAGAAAACCTACGCAAAGCAGCTGAAACACAAAATCCAGCTAGAGAACCTAGCGAGCAACTGAAAAATCCCAACGAAGAAATTGACGAACCTTAGGCAGAAGGCTCCGATACCATGATAAGCACTCAGAAAACAAGAACATAGCACGAGGATTTTACATGGTTTCTCTGAGAATCAGGACTAGTCCACGGGATAGCTTGTACTCTCCGGAGTCAATCTTATTCGTCTTATCGGCTGCAGTATGTATAGAGGGAATATAAATACATGAGTTGTGGGTCTTACGTAACCCTAATCCTCCTTAATTTAGGACTTAAGGACAATTACCAAAAGATACCTAAACTAAGTATAGATGATATTTCGACATCCTTCTCATCCATTAAAAACTTATTGTCTTCCCTAGTCTTTATAATGTCTCAATCTTTTGCGTCTGACGAATCGGAAAGAGGTTGAACATACAATTTTATGCAAATGTAATGCTTATATTGAAATTTCGGAGAATGGTGTCGTCATCCATTATCAAAGCGCAATTTAATTTCGGAGGTGATTGAGAGTCATATTTGCCTCTCAAGGACAAGGAGCGGTATTTTCACGTACTGACAAACATGTGATGAATCTATTGTTATCTGAACCAATTATTGTGCTTTTATTGTTGATGACTTCATATTTAACAATAAAATTTTTAATGTCTGAATAAAAAATTACATCTAAATGTTCTTTTTAATTAATTATTATTATCTATATAAAGATAATCTACAAACTATCTAATTAAAGTTATTATGAAATCTATACTAAACTACATTAACTCAAAATGGAAATTTGGCACTTTAGTACTCCATTGAAGCAAAAACCAGTTTTGGGAGCCAAAGAGACAAACTAAGTCCAGCATTTTGACACTACTATTGAAGATGGACATGTTTAATTGTACTTTCTTATAGGTTAATGGTAGTTTCCTTGCCCGACATGAGAAGACATAAATCACTCTTTCTATATCATTTGTTTATTTGAATAATAATTCATGTGCAAATGACAAAAAAGAAGAAGAACCACAAAGTGAAAAATTGGAGGTTGGTATTGCGGATGGAGGTGATTGGGTTCCTAGTGGTGATGATAGTGTAAGAGAGGATATTGACCATTGCTATGGCGTTAGAGTTAGATATGCAAATTGTTGATGTGACTTGAATCGGACTATCAGCCGCGGTGTATGGGCTTAATGTTATTTAGCTTCGGGTTCTGGGCCTGGTCTGTAACCGTTTTCTTTGCCAGATTGGATTAGGTTTAAACCCACATGGAGAAGTCCTATAAATACTTCTCATACTCCTCTGTAATCTGTAATCTCCTCGATATAGTAAAACTGGCTCTCTCTCGCCCGTGGACTAGCTAACACACATCGTGTTAGTCAACTACGTAAATCGTGTGTCTGTGTTTTTCGATTCTCGTTTTCGTGTTCTTGCTTTATCGATTCCGACGATTTCCCGATCCATAGCAGCGCGTTTATAACAAGTGGTATCAGAGCCGCGGCTGGAAATCAAGCTAGGGTTTTCAATTTAGAAGAATGACGTTGGTGAATATGAAGATCGAAAAGTTCACGGGGAGGAACAGCTTCGCTATATGGCAGATCAAGATGCAGGCTTTATTAAAACAGCAAGGGCTGTGGGGGCCACTGTTTGCGAAACAGAAGAATGAAGCGCTCGATGACGATGAGAGGAATACCCTGGAGGAGAAGGCCCACTCGACCATCATGCTATCGTTGTCTAATGACGTCATCATTGAAGTCGCTGCTGAAAAGACTGCCGCGGGCTTGTGGTTGAAACTAGAGAGTCTGTACATGACTAAGTCTCTAACCAACAAGCTGCATCTCAAGCAACGGTTGTTCAGCATGAGCATGCAAGAAGGTACGCCTTTGAGGAAACATCTCGAACATCTTAACTCTATTTTGCTGTCGAGGATGCTGAGGATGCTGCCCTAATTCTGCTGGTTTCTTTGCCGAGTTCATTCTTTTATTGATTCTTTTATTGCTGTCGAGGATGCTGCCCTAATGCTGCCCTAATTTTGTTGATTCTTTTATTGCCGTTAAAGAAATATTGTCGTTGGAGGATGTCAGGTCTTCTCTTCATACGAGAGAGATAAGGCCTAAGGCATCCGGATCTGGTACAGGTGGTGAGGCATCGGGTTTGGCTGTTACAGGTGGAAAGGGAAAGAAGAAATCTGGTAAAGGGAATTCAAACAAGAATTCCAAGGGTCCCTGTCCACAGCCAGGTGATGCTTATCACAACTGTAAGGAAGTGGGGCATTGGAACTACAACTGTCCCAGGAGAAGAGGGCAACAGAAGAAACAAGGTTCAATTTTCGTGGCAGAAGTGGACAATAGTTCTGAAGACGATCTCTCCTTGGATGTAGATGAGAAGGCACATCGTGGGGATGTGTGATTTCTGGATACAGCAGCCTCATACCATATGTCTCCGAACAGAGATTGCTTCACAACCTACAAGCAGATAGATGGTGGTAATGTGGTCATAGAAAATGGGGTTGTCTGCAAGGTTGTTGGAATCGGGCACATGATGATTCATTCTGTACTGTGAATGATGTCAGGCATGTTCCATGAATGACAAAGAACCTGATCTCCTTGAGTATACTCGACAGCAAGGGTTTCAGCTTGAAAGGAAAATGTGGAGTTGTGTATGTCTGCAAAGGTTCAAGGAAGGTGCTGAAGGGCATGAAGCGTGGGACCTTGTATGCATTACAAGGGTCTTTGTTGTCTGGTTCTGCTGCAGTTGAATCGTCTCAGGTTCATCAGGAAGATATGACTACTCTCTGGCACATGAGACTGGGGCATATGAGTGAACGAGGGATGCAAGTTCTATCGAAGAGGGATCTTCTTTGCGGGCACAAGGTGCAGAATTTGGAATTCTGCGAGCATTGTGTGTTTGGGAAGCTACATCGCAGCAAGTTCCCAAGAAGGGTATCCACCGGACGAAGGGGATACTGGATTACCTCCATTCCAACTGTTGGGGTCCTTCATGAGTTGAATCCATTGGAGGCAGCAGGTATCTTCTGTCTATTATTGATGATTATTCGAGATTTACTTGGATTTTCATGATGAAGCAGAAAAGTGAGGCTTTCACGAAGTTCAAGCAGTGGAAGACATTGATGGAGAATCAGACCGGGAAAAAGATCAAGAAGCTGCGAACAAACAATGGTCTGGAGTTCTGTAATTCTGAGTTCAACGAATTCTGCAAGAATGAAGGGATTTCCCGTCATCGGACCGTGAGATATACACCCTAGCAGAATGGCGTTGCAGATAGGATGAACCAGACATTGTTGGAGAGAGCACGGTGCATGCTCTCTAATGCTGGACTAGAGAGATGATTATGGGCAGAAGTAGTGAACATGGCGTGCTTCCCGATCAACTGTGGACCTCACACATGTATCGAGTTTAAGACTCCTTATGAAGTGTGGTATGGTAAGCTTGCTGATTACTCTTCATTGATAGTTTTTGGGTTTCATGTTTATTATCATGTGGATGAGGGTAAACTGAACCCAAGGGCAAAGAATGGTGTATTTGTGGGTTACGGAGATGGAGTTAAGGGATTTCGAGTTTGGTCACCTTCTGAGCATCGAGTTATACTCAGTAGAAATGTGATATTTGATGAGAAGTCTATGTTTAACCCCATGTTGAAGGTTACTGTTGTTGAAGGTAGCAGGAATGTTGCTAAGCAGGTGGAGCTGCAAACTCTCAATGAGAGTGAGCACCAAGGTGGAGAAGATCAACATGAGGGTGTTTCTACAAAGCCAGAAACTTCAAAGTACAGTGCAGGAGCTCAACAGTCTATAGCTTCCGGTAGACCAAAGAGAGCGACTGCAAGAGTACCTCCAGAGAGGTATGGTTTCGAGGACATGATGGCGTATTCATTTCAAGTTGCTGAAGAAGTGGATGCAGGTGAGCCACAGTCCTATAAAGAAGGCATTTTAGGTGTGGAAGCTGATCATTGGCTTGCCGCAATGAGAGATGAGATGGAATCCCCTGACAGGAATCAGACTTGGGAGCTAGTCAAACGACCACAGGGAAGGAAGATTGTTAAAAACAAGTGGATCTACAAGAAGAAGGAAGGAATCACTTCTAAAGAGGGCAGGAAATTTAAATGCTCGGTTGGTTGCACGAGGTTTCTCGCAGAGGGAAGGAGTTGACTACAATGAGATTTTCTCACCAGTGGTCAGACATACTTCGATCAGAGTGCTACTAGCAATAGTGGCACATTATGACTTGGAGCTCGAGCAGCTAGACGTGAAGACAGCTTTCCTACATGGAGAGTTGGAGGAAGAAATTTATATGACTCAACTAGAAGGATTCCAGGTTCCGAGAAAAGAAGACTATGTTTGTAAGCTGAAGAAGTACTTGTATGGACTTGAGCAGTCTCCGAGGTAGTGGTACAAGAGATTTGACAGTTACATGCTTTAGCTGGGCTATAGCAGAAGTACATATGATTGTTGTGTGTATCACAACAAGGTGGAGGATGGTTCGATGATCTGTCTTGTTCTGTATGTGGATGATATGCTCATAGCTGCGAGGTCGAAGTCTGATTTCCAGAAGTTAAAGGGGCTTCTCAGTGCGAGTTTGAGATGAAGGATTTGGGAGCTGCTAAGAAGATCTTGGGTATGGAGATTTACATGGTAAGGTCAAAGAAGAAGCTTTTCTTGTCACGGAAGAGTTACATCCAGAAGATACTATCGAGGTTTGACATGTCTTCAGCAAAGCCCTTAAATACTCCTAGTGCTTCAAATGTTCATCTATCCTCGGCTTATGCACCGCAGTCAGAGGCTGAGAAGGAGTACATGTCGAGAGTGCCATATGCTAGTGCAGTAGGTAACTTGGTGTACGCTATGGTATGCACTAGACCTGATCTTGCACATGTTGTTACTGTTGTCAGCAGGTTCATGATACAACCTGGGAAGGAGCATTGGCAGGCTGTGAAGAGAATCTTCCAGTACCTTAAGGGTACACCTGATATGGGGATTAGCTTCGGAAGTGATACAGAGTGCTTGGTGTCTGGGTATTCTGACTCGGACTATGCTGGAGATTTTGACACGAGGAGATCGATGTCCGGTTATGTATTCACTCTTGGGAGTTCTGTAGTGAGCTGGAAGGCAACTCTGCAGTCGGCGGTGACATTGTCTACTACTGAGGCAGAGTAGATGGTGTTGATAGAAGCTGCTAAGAAAGGAATATGGTTGAAGGGACTGGTTGGTGATCTGGGTCTACATAATGACCAGGCAGTGGTGTATTGCGATAGTTTGAGTGCAATATGCTTGGCCAAGGATCAAGTCCACCATGAGAGGACTAAGCACATCGACGTGAGGTATAATTTCTTGAGGACAGAGAGGAGAATTAAGGTGAAGAAGGTTGGCACCGCGGATAATCCTGCTGATATGTTCACGAAGCCGGTTCCACATGGCAAGTTCCAACACTGCTTGGACTTGCTGAATGTCTTGAGTGGTTGACTCCACCCTGCGGGGCATTGATGGCGGGAGAGAGAGAAGGAGCAGAGGACATCATAGATTTCAGAGGAAGAGGATTCAAGTCAAGGTGGAGATTTTTTTATGTGACTTGAATCGGACTATCAGCCGCTACGACTGGTAGTCGGGGGTCTCGCTGTTGGCGTTAGAGTTGATATGCAAATTGTTGATGTGACTTGAATCGGACTATCAGCCGCGGTGTATGGGCTCAATGTTATTTGGGTTCGGGTTCTGGGCCTGGTTTGTAACTGTTTCCTTTGCCATATTGGATTAGGTTTAGACCCACATGGAGAAGTACTATAAATACTTCTCATACTCCTCTGTGATTTGTAATCTCCTCGATATAGTGTAACTGGCTTTCTCTCGCCCGTGGACTAGCTAACACACATCGTATTAGTGAACCACGTAAATCGTGTGTCTGTGTTTTTCGATTCTCGTTTTCGTATTCTTGCTTTATCGATTCCGGCGATTTCCCGATCTGTAACAGCGCGTTTATAACACAAATATTAAAATTGATGCAATAATTTAGTGTCATTCCCATAATTTAGAATCTTTTAAATTCTTCAATTTCTACGGTTTGGATTCCTAAACTTGTCTATGACTTGTGAGTTTTGCTATTGTGGAACTAATTAAATTTTCATTTTATGATTGTCAACTTTATGCATTAGAATTTGGTTTACTAAAAAAAGGTCGTTAAATTAAATTATATACTCGAGTAGCTACCTTTCTAAATAAGAAAACTGAAATCTAATCAGATAATACACAACAACAACAAAAACTTATGTTGTTACGTTTTACGTCTCTTTGATCATGTTTTCGCGTCTACATAGATATACGCATTTGACTGCTGTGATAATACGAGTGGTATGGAAACTCCTCAAACTCATATTCCTTTGTGAATTGCCCGAAAGAAGAAAAAAAATATATAAACAAGGAATCAAATTACTTGACACTAGACGATCCCAAAAAAAAAAAAAATGACAATAGTTAATTAGTGGCAAAATCATATTTGAAAACAAGCAAGCATTCAGTATACGAAAAGAAAACCAGGTGCTATGCACATTTGTATAAAGATTTCAGTGCATGAACCAAAGATAAATTAAGAGTTCGATTGAATGGATAATGACGCCAGGTTAAGCGTTAATTGGTCTGTCTTTTCTCTCTCTGTCTCTGTTTTTTGTTTTGTTTCCTATAAAGCGAGCATACTTCCAAGTGCCAACTAAACGCACTTCTAGGTTTCTCCAATCTCATATATATATTATATATATTAATTAAACACCTTCCCTGCATGCTGACAGAGGAAAAGGAAGCAGAGGCCAAAAGCGAAACCCATTCCCGAACACAAGAGACAAACCCTGAAGCGGCGCCGATGCTTCAAGTTCACCACCCGCAGTTCCACTTTGTCGTCCACCAAAACTGCAACTTGTTGGCCGCCGTTGATGAATATTTGATGACAATTATCTCACAGATGAACCAAATTGCATGTGAAGGCCGGCCTAGAAAGCGACCAGAAACAATACCTACCACGCTGATAGAAGCAAAAGTACAATCGAAATACTATCATGATTGGACAAAACCTAAGTGGGTGGGGGGATCTAGTTATAAATTTTGTGAGGTGAAGGGTAGTGGGCTCTCCTCCTCATCCCTCTTGTAGCCATCCCAGGTATCTAACCTGTCTGAAGCCTTTTCCACCTGCAACCAATCAGTTGGGGAAACTCTATGTTATTAACCTAATAAACCCTCTATTAATTTGCTATATATAGTTAATGATTGTCCCATTAAAGAAAACAGGTAGTTCAAAAGTTAGCATATCATAGAGACAAAGCACCCCTTAGCATATTCACACCAAACAGTTAGAAAATACGAGCAAATTTTTTTTTGTCTTAAAGATAATTATAATACTTGAGAAATACGGATGAGCAAAATGTTGAAACTAAGGAGTCTAAACCGTACTTGTAGCACATATTCGAATGAGTTTGGTGTGAATACTTAAAAATTTCAAACACACACCACATTCATGTTCTTTTCTATCTGGTTCAATGAAAATACACCCAAAAATAGTATCGGTTGGATTTTCCTTATCAAATCAATTCAACTTCATGGGATTGTCCTAGTGGTACTTTGAGTGTGAGGATGAAAACATGTACCCCGCCACGCCTAGGATTCAATGAGCACATCTACCAACGTAAAAAAAATCAAATCAAATTCAATTGAAAACCCATGTTTATTTTCCATCCTACTTTAAAAATCAAATCTCGAGTCGAGGAGTCTCTCATCAACTGTATTACTACATGATGTGCATATATGCCTTATATGGTCATGGGGCCTGGCTGGATAGTAGATAAGTTGCTCCATCATTTTTGGGGCCGGCCTAAACAGATATTGTACTTTCATAATTGGGCCTGAGAATCGGTCAGCGAAATAAAGCCCAGCCTACTTTGGGTCTGATACAGCCTAATAAACTAATATACAGTTGAAGTGGCAAACAAAAAATAATCCCCGACGAAACGCTAGCAATATGAGGTGTGAAACAATTATTATTCACAAAACGAAATGGGTACCTCCTTTATCCAATCAGTCCGAACAGTGACCCAAATCAAAATTATCGTTTGCAATGCCGTTCCACCAATCATCCCCGACCATATCCCCTGTTCGAGCCCAAAAAGGAAAATTAATAATAAAAAATGGTCAAATCTTTAATTTTCTAAAGAAAAATAAATCAAATGGACCCAACATAATTAACATTTTCACTCATTAGTTAGAATAGGAGGAGGATATTACCTAAAAAATATGACCATATTTAATTGAAATATTTTTGACAAATAATTGACATATTAAAAACATACTAGAGAATGATCCCACCGCATCAACACCGTGTTCATTTTCAAACATAATAATCAGAGTCAGAGGTTTCTTAATCTATGGGTTAAGAAAGCAATTACCTTGGCACCCAGATCGCAGTAGAAACCAAGAATTACTCCCACAGGAATGCCAACCGCATAGTAACACCCCACATTCACATAAGCAACAAATTCTTGCCATCCACACCCAACAGCCACTCCTAATTGTAATGAATTTCGTCCACCGATTTGTCAAATATTAATTATTGCATATAAGCATAAGCTAAACGAACATTTGTTATATCAATAATATGAGTTCGTGATGGATTAGAAGTGTAACGTGCCTCTAATACGCAACATGTTTCACTGCATATATAATTCTACTCGTAATAAATGTGGATAACACAAAATATTCCATTCAAACATGTGTTGTAGTGATTTCTCTTAAGGTATGCTCATCATTAATAAGGAGGACACAATTATCTTTAAGTGGATATGTACGTTGCTAACTGTGCAGCAAAGTTTTACGCAATTATAATAATTAATTAGGGTGTAACTTAACGTACCTGAAAGCACGGGCTGAATCCCATTGATGATGAGGGCTAGAGCTAAAAGAGGGCAGAGGTCAGAAACGGCGGCGGCAACCTCTTCCCCGCCGGTGAAAGCATAGCTGACGACGTCGCGGACCGCTAACAGAGCAATGGCTATAACAACCGATATGAAGCAGGACAATGAAGCGGAGACGATGACTGAAAACGCTGCGGATTTGGGGTTCCCTGCTCCAAGCTCGTTACTCACTCTCACGCTGCATATATATAATTTTTGTATCCGGTCGGTTAATCAAAAGAGAAATAACAAACAAAAAGTTTCAATCCAATTGTTGGTCCGTACAATTGTATACAATAAGGTTTTATTTGAAATGCTGACCTGACGGCTGCGTTGAAGCCGATGGAGATCATAAATACGGAGTCATATATTGCCAAGCTGCAGTAAAATAATTAATTAGTCGGGTTTATTACACAAAAGTCATGTACGTATAATATTAGTTCAATATAGTAGCTCCTCTTTCTGGGAACGGCTACGGTGCTAATTGTACAATAGTTAGCACCGTCCTAACCAAGGGAAAAACTACTACTAGTTTGAATTAGTAGTGATTTAGCTTAGATGTTGTATTGATTTTATAATAACCCGTAGTGTTTTTTGCTAGTTATCACGGTGCTAACCCCTATAAAGGTTAGCACCTAATCCCATCCCCTCTTTCTCTTTAGTAAAATAATACACAATTATTTTATATGATTAAAGTGTTTGATTACTCAACAATCATGAAAAAGCCACGGCTGAAGAAATTTCATGATTGTGTAAATAAGCATCGATCATGTGTGTACATACAAGCTGATTTGCATGAATATCAAAATGTTAGACATACAAATTTTTAAGTACTAAAATAAAAAATTTCATCAAGGACCATCATCATGCAAATGGAAAACAAAAATTATAGATCAAATTGTTTCATAAAACCCTTTTCTTGTGTAAGTAAAAAAATATATATTAGGTGCAACAAGACAAGACAAGACACCAAATTCTGTAGTTTAGGGTGGGTATTCGTACCAGACAGAGAGAGCATCAAGAGTCAACTGAGGGTTAGGGAGCAGCCCAGCGATCAACACCAACACCTGAAAATACCAAATCTCCAAACAAATCATCACCGCCGACGCCGCCGACATCTTCGCGAAATCCCACAACCCGGCAAAAACCTCGGAGCCGCCTCCAAACCCTCCCCACGTGTCCTTACACTCCCCGCTCTTTACAATATACCCAAACTGCCCCGCCGCCACCAACCACCACGACAGGCTGAGCACTAGCGACGCGCCCACCAGCCCCGTCCCGAGCCCGTACACCGCCAGCCAGCTCAGCGCCACGTGGAGCGCCACCACGGCCGCGGAGATGTAGGCGGTGGGGGCCACGATTGACTGGGCCTGGAGGAACTTCTGGACCGGGAAGTTGACCGCGCAGGCGAAGAGCTCCGGGATGAGCCCGTAGACGAAGAGGGAGGCGGCGGTGGCGATTTCCGGCGACTGGCCGAGGGATATCAGGATGGGTTTGGAGAAGATGTAGACCACGGAGATTGCGGCGGCGGTGAGGAGGAGGATGAGGATGGATTGTTGGAGGTAGATTCCCAGCATGCCGTATTTTTGGGCGCCGTAGGCTTGCCCGCATAGTGTCTCCACCGCGCTCCCCATTCCTAACTGTACAGTCATGGTTAATTTTTTTTTGTATACAAATAATTTGTTAATACCACGTCAAATATTTATAAAAATTCATTTTTAACATTTACAAAGTATTGATTAAGATTTACAAATAACTTCATATATAATCATCAGATGACACTGGTGTCTTCTATGTACTCCGAAACTCAAGCGTATATCATAGATGTCTCATCTCTATTCTGTAAGATAAGTTGTAATTGATTGATAAAAATATATAAACCGAAAACAATGATGTGAGGATTAAAGTCCATTTTTAACATACTATTTCAAACCAAAGTTAAAATAGGTCCCGAGCCATGGCGGTTCTCGAGAACCACATATCCGTTTGGCTCAGCCACTAATTGTGAAAGATGATGAGATAATAATAAAATTTATATTTCATATAATTTCTTCGTATTGTATTGTGTGCATAATTTTACGATTGCCTCCTATCAGAATTTTGCTAGACACATTCTTTCTTTTGTAACAAGATACAAACATTATACACATCTGACAAATTTATAAGTATTTGCGTGTGCTATATATTTTATAGATGAAAAGTTACGTGACCCTATGCCATGGCATTATCATCCAATTGTGTATAAAAATGGAAGCGAGGAGGAGAACTAAATAAAATATGTATGGCTATATAAACGAAACGAAATATTTATTAACTATATGTTATTATACGAACCAAGAGGCCATAAGCGAAGAGCTGGATGCCGGAGAAGCCGAGGGAGGAGGCGGCGAGCTGGAGGTTCCCGAGATGGCCGGCGAATATTTCGGTGGACATCCCCATCAGAAAGTTGAGCATGTACACGATGACCGCCGGAGCGGCGAGGTGGACGAGGAGCTTCGACTCCGCCCACGTGGCCAGCCTGATCCGGTCAATGAACCCAAGGTGCGGGTCGGACAGCACGTTCTCCAGCTCGTTCAGGCTCGCTTCTTCCTCGGATAGACCGCGGCGGTGGCAATTAGGATGGACCAGCAATGGCTCCTCGATTGGAGATGCGGCGCCGGACATTGTGAGAAAATGATTGATTGATTGATTGGAGGGAATATAATTGGGATCAGTGTAATTATGACGAAGGTGGGTTTTGTTATAAATACGTTTAGGAAAGTTGATTACGGAGGTTCGGGTCATTGGATGTGGGTGGTTGGCCAAATCCATCAGCCGGGAGATTATTTCTTTGATGCTCCACCGGACCGTTGTTTAAGTACAGATTGAAATGACAAATGCATTAGCGACCAGACATTTGAATGGACTTGACTCCACGTGTATTATTTTTGTATATAAAATGAAAAAAAACAAAACAAAATGTGAACTCCAACAGGGCAGGGCTATCATTATGGAGCAATCTCATACAGAGATATACAACAATCGGTTCACAGAAAAATAGTGCATATTCGTTAATCGAGTTTTATGAAGGTTTATACTTGTGCAAGATTTGTGTAGTGAATCAAAACCTTACACAGATTCGTTTGGGTTTTGCTTATCCATATTTTATTATTGTTTCATCTAATAAATATGTCTATGCATCTATAATCGGGCTAGTTGATATGAGATAATAGAAAAACCATACCCTCCCATCACCATAATATCCATTCTTGGATTTATACATACGTCAACGTAATTGATTTAGTAGTTTAGGTTTAATCATATTTAATCGGGTCAGATTCGATCGGTTAACCATGTTGGTGATTATTTTTTGCATTCATAATCGTGGCCTCATATTTTGGTGTGTCTATATACTAGGCAAGAGAAGTTACTAAGTTATTTGAACAGAAATTAGAGTGCAAAGATGATGGCAATGAAAGGAAAAATATCGGACGACGAATGGAGTTACGTCCTACTAATTTAAGTATTAAGAGAGTTTTTTAGTGACATGTAAATTAAAGTTAGTTGTATATTTTGGATTTAAACAAATAACATTTTGGCATTGTGATGTCTGAAAGCTGTTACTTGAGATAGTTTTCTGCAAGTTACACACAAATTCAAAGGGATTAGTTTCATTGTCCCTGTCGCGGGATGGGGTTTTCGCAGCGGCAGTTAATAACGTTATTGACCAGTTAGATACATTAATTTCTATAAGGAAATATATGGTAGTATGGTACCCTTGCTTCTTCTTCTTCTTCTGGCATTTAGCTATTTAATCATTTAACGTCCTTAACTTCAAATCTTAACCCATTGCTTGGCCAACAAACACCACCATCCTCTAACAGTCTTTTTAATTTTTATTTATAGATAACTGTACAATAAGACAGTTAAAGTATATCAAACAACAAAAGACGACAGTCAATGGATATGTTTAAACGAATTTGTGTCAGAAACCTATACCATACATGCATACCAATTTTCTGGCTTAGGATAGGGTGAGTAACCCTTTGTTACTCACCCGTGAGTAACCACCTAGGAACCGTTGATCTGGGGCGGACGGATCGTGTGGCTGTCATTGAAGCGGGATGATCAGGGGCATTTTTGTCCGTTATTTGAATTAATGAGTTTCCCCTTTTGTCCGTTGCGAATCTTTCTGTGCGCGAGTTGGATTCGGATTTTGGAGAGAGAAACTACGAGCAGGGGAGCAGCAGCTGAGAAACAAGGACGGCGATTCTCCATGGTTGATCGACGGCGATAGAAACTGCGAGCAGCAGCTTCGAATCGAGCTTTCTGATTCTCCATAATTGATCGACGTGTGCGCGAGTTGGATTCGGATTTTGGAGAGAGAAACTGCGAGCAGGGGAGCAGCAGCTGAAAAACAAGGACGGCGATTCTCCATGGTTGATCGACGGCGATAGAAACTGCGAGCAGCAGCTTCGAATCGAGCTTTCTGATTCTCCATAATTGATCGACGTGTGCGCGAGTTGGATTCGGATTTTGGAGAGAGAAACTGCGAGCAGGGGAGCAGCAGCTGAGAAACAAGGACGGCGATTCTCCATGGTTGATCGACGGCGATAGAAACTGCGAGCAGCAGCTTCGAATCGAGCTTTCTGATTCTCCATAATTGATCGACGTGTGCGCGAGTTGGATTCAGTTTTTGTAGAGAGAAACTGCGAGCAGCCGCTGCGAAACAGGGGACGGCGAATCTTTTCTGATTCTCCATAATTGATCGACGACGAGGTTAGATATTAGTTTTTTTGATTCTTCCTGTTTAGCTAATCGAGTTTTCTGTTGATCTCTGGTTTCGTTGGAGGTTTTTCATTGCTGCTAGTCGAGCTTGTTTATGTTTAGCTAATCGAGCTTGTTCATGTGTTATGTTCTTTGTGTTTTGGTGTTTTTGCAGTATTCTGGTGAGATGAGTTACGTAAATTGTGGCGATGTTGTTCCAATTGATAGATCTGGTTCTTCAACCAGCGTTGTAGGATCTGGTTCTTCATCTAGTGCTGTTGGAATTGCTTCTTCATCTATCGATCTTGGATTTGATCATTCAGCTAACTCTGGTGAATCAGGAGGTAAGATATACAAATTTGTTTGTTTATTGAAGTTTGTATAGTGTCGTAATTTGATTTTACCATGCCTTATCATATGGTAATTGATTTTACAGTACATTACCATGTGGTAAAATGTGGTAATTAGGAAGTTAAATGTGATGGTTCTGTGTGATAATTGATTTTACCATGCCATACCATATGGTATAGTGTGGTAATTTGATTTTACCATGCCTTATCATGTGGTAATTGATTTTACAGTACATTACCATGTGGTAAAATGTGGTAATTAGGAAGTTAAATGTTAGGATTCTGTGTGATAATTGATTTTACCATGCCATACCATATGGTATAGTGTGGTAGTTTGATTTTACCATGCCATACCATATGGTATAGTGTGGTAATTTGATTTTACCATGCCTTATCATGTGGTAATTGATTTTACAGTACATTACCATGTGGTAAAATATGGTAATTAGGAAGTTAAATGTGAGGGTTATGTGTGATAATTGATTTTACCATGCCATACCATATGGTATAGTGTGGTAGTTTGATTTTACCATGCCATACCATATGGTATAGTGTGGTAATTTGATTTTACCTTGCCATACCATGTGGTATAGTGTTGTAGTTTGATTTTACCATGCCATACCATATGGTATAGTGTGGTAATTTGATTTTACCATGTCATACCATGGTGGTAACTCTTGTATCATGGCTGTAATTATTGGTATACATTGAGATTTCATACTGTTGTGGTGTGGAATCCATTTAATATGTTGTTTCATAATGTTTGTAGGTTTCAATGGTATAGATCCTACTGTTCGTGATTCTTGGAAGGATTTAGAGTTCAATACACCAGATGATGCATATAATTTTTATGTTGATTATGGGAATCATGAAGGTTTTGGTGTGAGGATTTATAACCAATCAGCGTGTCCGAAGCTCAATGGTGGTTCTTCAGCTGTATATTATATCAAGTATTGTTGCAATAAGGAAGGTTGGAAAAGAGGTAGCGAGAATAACCCTGATAATGCAGGTGTTGTTGATACGACAGTTCGTGTTCGTAATGTTCCAGAACTCAGGGGTGGATGTAATGGTGCTTATATACGACTGAGGTGGTTTAAAGAGTTTAAATGCTACAAGATCTATCGTTGGTATAATATGCACAACCATGACATGATTCCTGAGTCTCTGCGTCACTATGTGAGATCCAGCAGACGAATGGCTCCTGTGTATAAGATGTTGGCAGAGGTGAATGATGCTGCTGGTATTGGTGTGACTTCTTCGTATAATGCAATTAGTAGGGCTGGTGGTGGTCGGAAGTTTGTTGGGTTCACAAAGAATGATTTGAAGAACCATCTGCGAACGGTTAGGACGTTATCAATGGAGTATGGTGATGCGAGTGCATTGCTTGAATACTTTAGACGTCAAGCACAGCTGGATCCTGGGTTTTTTCATGAGGTAGAGGTTGATGTTGAAGAGAACATTGCTAGTATTTTTTGGGCAGATGGGAAGATGAGGATGGATTATCATTATTTTGGTGATTCAATTAGTTTTAATACTACTTACCGGACTAACAAAGAGTATCAGCCACTAGGTATGTTTTCTAGTTTGTTGTTTATTATTGTCTTTGTTAGTTTGTATGATTATTATTATTATCATTATGTATCATGTTTTTTTTTGTTCTTACAAGTCTGTACCATATGGTATGGGTTGGTATGGTTTGCTTTTTTGTTCTTAAAAGTATTTTACCATATGGTATGTGTTGGTAACAAGGTTATTTGAGGTGGTTTTTGGGTTGTTAGAAGTTTGTACTATATGGTATGGGCTGGTATGCATTGTGTTTTTGTTCTTAAAAGTCTTTTATCATATGGTATGGGTTGGTAACAAGGTTATTTGTGGTGGTTTTTGCGTTGTTAGAAGTGTGTACTATATGGTAGTCTGGTATGGATTGTTTTTTTTGTTCTTAGAAGTCTTTACCACATGGTATGAGTCTTTACCATATGGTATGGGTTGGTATTATTGTTATTCGTACCTTTTACCACATGGTATGTGTTGGTAGAATTGTTTTTACTTACATTTTGTTATGTTTTTGTAGCTTTGTTTGTTGGTTTCAACAATCATCACCAACTGACTGTCTTTGCGGCTGCTCTTCTATATGATGAAACAACGGCAACATTTGAATGGCTTTTCGATCAGTTTTTGAAATGCATGGGAGGTGTGAGACCATTATCAATGTTTACTGACCAGGCTGCTGCAATTGCTGCTGGTATAAGGTCTGTTTTCCCAGATTGTTTTCATGGGTTGTGTACATGACATATTGCTCAGAATGCAGTTGTTAATCTGGGAAGTTTGTGTGGCTCTGACTTCCTTCGTGAGCTTAGTTATTTGATGTATAATGCTGATGATGAGGATGATTTTGAGTATAATTGGAAGAAGATGATTGAGAAGTGTTTTCCTGGGAAGGGACCTTTGGGACACAGTTGGTTACAGGGCATTTACAAAGTCAGGAAGAAGTGGTCTTCAGTCTAGGTGAATTGTCATTTTGGTGCGGGAATGAAGAGTACCCAGCTAAGTGAGTGCTGCAATAGTAATATTCGACATTACTTGCAGTCAGAGTTTAGCGTTAGTAGGTTCTTTGTGCACTTTGAGAGGATGCTTGATAATAAGAGGGATGCTGAAGAACAGGAAGAGTACTACGCCTTATCTAGGTTGGCTGATTCTCGGTTTTCTACTAGCCCTATTGTGAAGCAAGTTGCTAATGTGTATACGCCGAAGATATTAAAGTTTTTCCTGGATCAGTACAAGGAATCTCTTGCGTATAATATTTTTTCCAATACGGAGATAGAACCAGAAGGACATGTAGGACTGTTTGATGTCTTCATATTGGAGGATGACCTTACAAGGTTGGATAGTAGGGTGTTGAAGGTTGATTTTGAAAACGGTGAAATCAAGTGTTCCTGCCGTAAGTGGAAGTCAAGTGGTATGATCTGTAAGCATCAAATTAAGGGATATGATATGTTGTGGTCTACAACATGCAATCTGAAGTTCGAGCACATTCCTAGCAGTTTGATTTTGAAGCGGTGGACAAGGGCAGCGAAAACTGGAGGGAACTTTTCTTTTGAAGTTCCGTCTACTGATAGTCCATCGAAATACCGTTCTCGTCTTTTCAATCTGTCAGCTGTTTCTGCATCAATGATCAGCAGGGTTGCATTGGATGATGATTTGTATAAATCAGCCATGGCCTTCATTACTGATTTGATCAAAAAGTGTGAAGCCCTATCGATTACTGAACCTGCTGGAACAAGCACGTCTTCTAACGGTGACAGTAAGTTTTTAATTGTTTAGAGTTTTGTGTTTTGATATATGCATTTTTTTGAGGAGAATGATTTTATATATATCTGTCATTGATTGTAGTTTGGTTTTTGGTATCTTGGTATAGATGATGTACCGGTCCAAAAAGTGAAGGGGTTTAAGCCTAAAAAAGATTCATTCAAGCCTTCGAAACGACCAATTCCAGTTGCGGAGGCTGCAAGGGCTGTAAGTAAGAAGAAGAGAAAAACTAGCAGGCTTGAGGAGGAGAATTTGAAGGCTCTTGAAGAAAGTTTAAGGCTGAAGCTGTAATAGTTTTATTAGAGGATTATTTGAATGAATGGTTGATGCTGGTTGAGTTGTTGAAGCTATTTTGTTCTTTTGGATTGGTTTTTGGTTTGTTGGATTAATTTTACAATGTCATACCATGTGGTATAATGTGGTAATTTGATTTTATCATGTCAAACCAGGTGGTAAAATGTGCTATTTTTGGAAGTTGAATGTGAAGGTTCTATTTTATAACTGATTTTACCATGCCATACCATGTGGTATAGTGTGGTAGTTTGGAAGTTCTGTGTGATAATTGAGTTTACGTTTGCCATACCATATGGTAAAATATGATCATTTGGAAGTGGCATGTGTGGTAATTGATTTTACAGTGAATTACCATGTGGTAAAATGTGGTAATTTGGAAGTTAAATGTGAGGGTTCTGTGTGATAATTGATTTTACCATGCCATACCATATGGTATAGTGTGGTAATTTGATTTTACCATGCCATACCATATGGTATAGTGTTGTAATTTATTTTTACCATGCCATACCATGTGGTAAAATATGGTATTTTGGAAGTGGCATGTGTGGTAATTGATTTTACAGTGCATTACCATGTGCTAAAATGTGGTAATTTGATTTTACCATGCCATACCATATGGTATAGTGTGGTCATTGATTTTACTATGCTATACCATATGGTATAGTGTGGACTGTGTGGTAATTTGATTTTTACCATGCCATAGCATGTGGTAAAATGTGGTATTTTGGGAATTAAGAACACATGTTAAGTATTTGCTAACATAATAAAAAACAGAACATTTCATTTAGTCATAATACAAACCATAATAAGTTGTTTCATACCATCCTACTAATTAAAATGAAGTGGCTACTGAACATTGTGAGTTTGTTCTCAAAAGCTTACTTATACCCTCCTACTACTTAACACAAACGATAATAGAATTTTCATCTCCTTCCTTTCAACTCTTTATTCTTGTTCTTCATGTTGCAGTACTTTGTTGCTTCTTTCATGATCCTTTCCCGTTCAAGATTTTCTTCATCAAGAATGATGTCAAACATCAGGCACTCCCTTTCTTCATTTATGAGATCAATCCTCTTCCAATCTTTGGTCAGGGCACTGTTGTACTTACCTTCCCAGTGTCTCATCCACCTGATGATGTACATCCCACATGAAATTTGATCTGGTTGTGTAACCTTCTCGAGGTTGAACCAGGTAAACCTTTCCCACCTTACTGTCTTCTCTGCAAACTGTGTCTTCATGTAGTTGATTGCGTACTGGACAACCCTCTTTGTCATTGGTTTGTAGGTTTCTTCAAAATCTTTGTGACGGAGACTGTCGAGTACTTCAAATCTCTCTGCTTTGATGTTGACACAAATCATGATGTAGTGCTTGTTATTACAGTAAGGGAAGAACCACTGCAAAATAATTTTACCACAGTATACCATATGGTAAGCAGTTGCCATATAAGTGATGAACAGTAAGTTAAGAACCATTGCAAACTAATTTTACCACTATATACCATATGGTAACCACTGCAAACTAATTTTAGCACTATATACCATATGGTAACCACTGCAAACTAATTTTAGCACTATATACCATATGGTAACCACTGCAAAAATTGTGGTGAGATACTTACAAGGTTACATTCTGTGAAGCTGAGGTTTTTTGCCCATTCTTTGTTGGTGATGTCCAAGTCCACTTTGTTGTAGTAATCGTCTGGAGATAGTACAGGATTGCCACTATCAATGTCCAGTTGGCAGTCACCCTGAAAGTTGTGTTTGTTATTATGTGTTTTATATATGTGTTGTCTAAGAACTATTGACAGAATATGGGTGGGTTTACTTACTGCCAAAGATGTATCGAAGAACCACCTTTTGAATTTTCCTTTTTTTGCTTCATTCCTGTTCATTACATCTCCATACCAGTCGACGACATCAGATGTGATTTCACAGCCAATGTCAATCAACTGTACTGACTCCCTTTTCAGCAAGAATGTTCCATCCTTCCTTTTAAACATTATCTCATCACTGTATAAAAGCACATCACAACAGGACGGATGGTTTACTTTAATTTATGACATCAAACAATAGGTTACCACAACAAAACCATAGCTTACCACATCTTACCATATGGTAATAAGTAAAACACACCAGCTTACCACATCTTACCATATGGTAATAAGTAAAATAGAACAGGAGTTATGGTTTAATCCATTCTTTAACAACAAACCTTAGCTTACCACATCATACCATATGGTATTAAACTAAAACAAAACAGGACTTGTGCATTACTACATTTTGTAACATTAAACCATAGATTTATCTAATTTTACCATATCTTACCATATTTTACCATATGGTAACAAACTAGATCACTACAGTAAAATCATATAACAGTAGAAGTTTTAAGATGATGACTACTTACCTCTTGAAAAATTTCTTGTTTTTGCATCTTATGTACTCCAGGATGTTGCTGAACATATCATCAGGTGTTGTTTGTGTTGGTGTTGACCATTCAACTGGTGATTTTTGTGATTGTGGAGCAACTGGTTCGACAGTTGGAGAATTCAGGTCCTCTAGGTAAGCATCTATGCATTCACGGACTTCCTTGAGCTTCTCTTGGCTATTTGTGTACAGATTTGACCATATAGCATATGACGCCGTCTGTGACTGGGTGCTTTGTGGCTGTGCTGGTGGTGGTGTTGTTCTTGCCTTCTTTTCATATACATTCAAATTCTTCACCACGATTCTTCTTTTGCGAGGCTCTCCTGGTTGATCGGTTGCCGTGTTGGTAGTCAACTTCGTTGGTGTTGTTGGTGTTTGACGGTTGAGAGGGCTGAGATCAAAGGATGGAATGTCGTCTTCCCTTGTCACTTTAGGCTTTTCAGCAACTTCGGTTGTCAGTTTTGGAGCCTCTTCTCGAACAACATCATCTGACACCGTTTTCTCGCTGTCAGTTTCTGGAGTCTTTTGCGCAGCTTGCCCTGTATTCCCTTCTTCTGTTGTTTCCTTATCAACTTCCATTGGATCTGCTGTTTTGGTAGCTCCTTTTTCTCCTGTTTCTTTTGCAGATGTCTGTTCTGGAACTGCTTTCGGGGTGTCCTCTTGTTGTGGTGTTCCCTGATTCAGACCTTCTTGAACAGATTGTTCTGGTGGTTCTGTTGCAACTTCCCCCAGTGGACCTCCTTCTTTTTGGATGCTTTCCCTATTCACAGCTCCTGGATCAGAATCATCTTGCTCCTTTTCTTTTGGCTTCGGTGTAGATGCAGCAAGATCGACTGTAGATGGTTGTGAATCATCTTCTTTCTGTGTTTGCTCCTCGTTCTCCTCTTTGTTCTGGTCTATCTTTGCCTGTTTGAATATTTCATTGAGTGTTTTATTCAAACTGGCATTCATTTCTTCATCATTCTCTTCTTCATCATCTTCACACTGAAATTTTTCTCCTTCTGTTGGCTGAACATTTTCATCACAGCTTTCTTTCGCAAGATTCTCCTTGTGTCTGATCAGATTGTCAATTTGGCTTTTGTACTGGTCTTTGATTGCTTTCATCATTGCCTTCATTGATGCTTCAAGCAGTTTGATTGCATTCTCAGCCTGCATAATGGGAGCTTTTGTAAGATAACATGGTGGTAATGTGTGTATGGTGTATGGTTAGTTACCATGGTGGTAATACATGGTATTGGCAATTATTATCACTATTTTGCATTTTTATAACATGAAACTATATCTTACCACACCTTACCATATGGTAACAAAGTAAAACAGAACAAGAATTATGGTTTCCTCCATTTTTATAACATGAAACCATTGCTTACTACACATTACCATATGGTAACGTATTAAAACACAACAGGACTTATGTTTTCCTCCATTTTTATAACATGAAACCATAGCTTACCACACCTTACCATATGGTAACAAACTAAAACACAGAAGGACTTGTTGTTTTTTGCTATTTTTAAAACATGAAAGCATAGCTTACCACACATTACCATATGGTAACAAAGTAAAACAGAACAAGAATTATGGTTTCCTCCATTTTAATAACATGAAACCATTTGCTTACCACACATTACCATATGGTAACGAAGTAAACCACAACAGGGGCTTATGTTTTGCTCCATTTTTATAACATGAAACCATAGCTTACCACACCTTACCATATGGTAACAAACTAAAACACAGAAGGACTTACGCTTAGTATGAATTGGACAACTGTAATATAGATAATTTGTACTTACTTGGTTGACTGTTCTGATATTCTTCAAATCAAAGTTCAGTGATGATGACTGGTCTGGACTTTTGTTTCTTTGTCTTTTCGGTGATTCATAGACTGGCTCATTCTCCTCTTCCTCATCAGCTGCACCATCAGCCTCATCGTCACTAATGTTGGCAAGCTTTTCGATCTCGTTCAACTCTTTTCCATTGTAGTAGCTTTTAATGTTCTCAAAGTTGCTATCAACATTGTTATCATCATAGTAGCTTACTGTTGGTGTTCGAAGCTGGGTTGAGAATGCCATTTCGTCCAGTTTGTACATGAAGCATACCTTTTTATGAAGATAGTTGTATTAGTTTTTTCAAAGAGTATCATTTATATATAAAATATATGAGTAACAAGGTTGAAATGGCCAAGGGAATGGAGACTTACTGTAAGGAAGTGAAGATCTGCATTGACATAGAGCTTTGGTGATTTCAATCCTTCATTCATGTGTTTGAAGATGTATTTGCACCAGTTGTAGCTGGTGATATGTTTCAGTTCTTCAGTCTTCAAGTACTCAAGCATGTTGAGTTCAGCCATAGGTGCTGAAGTTGGACACAGCAAGCCTCCGGTGACCAGCAGAAAGAACAATTGCATCCATCTCTTAGTCAGTGTGGTTGTAGGAAGATCTTTTTCTACCTGACTTAGCTTTACCCTTGGAGTGGATGTTCCATCTACTTCGAGTAGGGTTTCTATTGCATAATCTGCTGCGTCATCCCAAGAAATCGTGGGAGGTGCAACTTCCCTATTCCCCATCGGCAGACCATATACTCTATGAAAGTCGATTGGTGATATCTTGATGCGTGTCCCGTCAGGTAACTTGAACGATTCTTTCTTTGGATTGTATTTGTTCATTACAAACAGTGCAAATGGTTGTTTATCTTTGTCTGCTTGATTGATATTAAGCCTGCTAGGCCTAATATCTCAAGTTGCTCTTTCCGCTCATCTGTTATTGACCTTGCGATTGCAGAAATTCTTGTTGGGCTGCACCTTGTGCGAAAACTGTGTTTTGGTTTTACCATAGTGTACCTGAATGTAGAAATTAGTAATAGTCTGTTAGTATGCTTTTTACCATAATATACCATATGGTACCATAATGGTTTCCTACCATACCAAATCAAACCATATATTTATCTCATTTTACCATATGGTAATTACATCAAACCATGTCTTATAACATATTACCATATGGTAACGAAGTAAAACACAACAGGACGTATGTTTTCCTCCATTTTTATAGCATGAAACCATAGCTTACCACACATTACCATATGGTAATAAACTAAAACACAGCAGGACTTATGGTTTTTTTGCTATTTTACAACATGAAACCATAGGTTACCACACATTACCATATGGTAACAAACTAAAACACAGCAGGACTTATGGTTTTTTGCTTTTTTACAACATGAAACCATAGCTTACCACACATTACCATATGGTAACAAACTAAAACACAGCAGGACTTATGGTTTTTTGCTTTTTTACAACATGAAACCATAGCTTACCACACATTACCATATGGTAACAAACTAAAACACAGCAGGACTTATGGTTTTTTGCTTTTTTACAACATGAAACCATAGCTTACCACACATCACCATATGGTAACAAACTAAAACACAGAAGAACTTATGGTTTTTTGCTATTTTACAACATGAAACCATAGGTTACCACACATTACCATATGGTAACAAACTAAAACACAGAAGAACTTATGGTTTTTTGCTATTTTACAACATGAAACCATAGCTTACCACACATTACCATATGGTAACAAACTAAAATACAGAAGGACTTATGGTTTTTTGCTATTTTACAACATGAAACCATAGGTTACCACACATTACCATATGGTAACAAACTAAAACACAGAAGGACTTATGGTTTTTTGCTATTTTACAACATGAAACCATAGGTTACCACACATTACCATATGGTAACAAACTAAAACACAGAAGAACTTATGGTTTTTTGCTATTTTACAACATGAAACTATAGCTTACTACACATTACCATATGGTAACAAACTACAACACAGAAGGACTTACGGTTTCTTGCCTTTTTATAATGTGAAATCATAGCTTACCACGCCATACCATGTGGTAACGAAGCAAAACACAACAGATTCTACACCAGTTCAGCAATGCATGCTAACGATTCGGTAATGTAGCGAGTTTTACTACAATTTTCACATGAAGAGTGACTGGAATACTGTTTCTATTGTTCTATGGATGGATTTCGAAGAAAGAAGTGAGGTTTTACCTTGATATTTTGTGCGAAAACGATTTTTGAGCCTCGTTGAAGTTGGAAACCCTTCGTTTTTCGACGAAGAAGCGAGAACAGTGTATCGTTGAATGATTCTTCGAAAAGCTTTGCGAAAATCGTTCGATTTGAAGTTTTCTTCTGGAAGTTTTTGCTGCGATTTTGGTGAGAGAATTGAGTATCGGGAGGAAGAATGGAGAGTTAGAGAGCAGAGGGAAGTGGAACTGTCGCTTGAAAGGTGAGAGAAAGAAGGAGAGAAGGCGGGACGGTTGTCGCTGTCACGTCTGCAATTCAAATTGTCAGAGACGTGATTACCTTTTTTGCCCCCGCGTGTATTTAATTGGCATGATCTGACGGCTGGGAAGATGGCGCGATGGACGGTCAGATGGACGGTTACTGACCGTTACTGATAGGTCGGTTACTGATAGGATCCGGACCCCAATTTTCTGGGGAATATCCAGCCAGTGTTGACAAATAAGTAGAAATTGTTGTGTATTATTACTGAAAACACATAGGGTTTATATAGAGTATATAAATTTATTTCTATAATCACTCTAACATTAATATGGAAATTACCAAACTTATACGACTCTGATAAGAAATATAACTCTAACAATTACATAACAATACTCGTAGTATAACATAAATCTACTCGAACTACACATACTCTAATACCCTCCTCAAATTGATGATAATTACTTACCAACAATTTCAAAACCGAAACAAAAAACCGCACAAATTACTATGAAGAACGTACGTGACAAAAAAATAATGACAAACCTAAATGCTCCGCCAAATATGCCGATGAAGACCATATCCCATGCCTCGTGAAACGTCAATGGTGATAAACTGGAGATAACAAAAGGTTTTGCCAAAGTCGTCTAGTCTGTTAAACCAAGTGTCCAACAAAATAAATGATCACTCGCCACAACTCTGCACTGAAGGAAGCGGAAAAAACAAGTGACGATCAAGAAGAAAGATACTCCAGAAGAACGAGCAGTGACCGTGAAACTGTGTTGTCACGAAAACAGAACCACGTGCTCCGAACAGCAACATGGAAATCAAGATGCTCCGAACAACATCATCGAAACATAAACATAACCACGTGCTCCTAACAGCAACATGGCAATCAGGAGCTCCGCATAACATCATAGAAACATAAACATCAACCAGAAATGCTCCGTACAACATTTTTTCAAACAGAGATGCTCCGAACAACACCCACTACAACAATTTTGGCCTATTTTGACAAAAAACAATTGTCATTTATATTTTGTCACAATAGACCATATAATGTGACGACAACCATGTTTGTCATAATTTCCGTACAAGTTGTGACAAACAACGAGCTTGTCATACAATTTTTTCATATTAAGTATGTATTATGACAAATTCATTATGTCAACATTATTTTGTAAAAATATGGTCATCGGCTAGGAATGATTGGATTATAATGTGAAAAAATATTTGTCATAATATCTTCTGTCAAATTATCTACTATGTCAGTTGGATTATGACAACTTCATTTGTCATAATATTACGAATATACCTATAGTATGACAGGTTATACTTAGTAAAAAAAACTTGTTATCGGCCATGTATTGGCGGGAAATTGTGGCACGGAAGATGAAATGTTTAATGTGACAAATAAAGATTTTGTCACAATATACAATCGGAATACTTTATTATGACAAACTAACTTTGTTACATTAAATATATCACACATTTGGTTAGCCAAAATGTGATTTGGCGGGAACTTGTGGAGAGAAATAATAAATGTATAGTATGACAAGTAGTAAATTTGTCACAATATATACTAGTATATATTTATGCTAACAACCAGGTTTGTCATAAAAAAAATTTATATTCACATTTAATATGAAAAAAAACCCTATACCTTAAATCATGAAGTGTAAAAATAAATCTTCACACCTAAATTCTAAACCTTATAATGTAAATTATAATCGATTGATGAAAGCAATCAGTAAACCTACAATAATAAAACTTACATTTTAGTTGAACAATGATCCACTAAACCTTATCGCATAATGCATATTGTGGCTATGATTTGAATTGTAATTATTTTTCATAGTTAGAAAATTATAGATTAAATTTGTTTTTATCTTCCTTTTAGGAATTTGAGCTCGCCCCTATCGTAGGCACTCAGAAAGAGGGCACAATTAACCTTTGTCTTTTTATTGCTCTGTTAGCTCCTCTTCATCCTGCAACCTTCTTTATCCCGTATACTAAACAAGTACAAGGTACAAATTTTTGTTGCAATGACCTAAAATCTAATTAGCTGCCGTCGATTGGGAGTCACGGGGTCCAGGGGCGAAGCGCCGGTTTGGGGGTTCGGGGGCGTAAGGTGGCCCCCGATCCACGTACGGTAAATGGGCTTATACCACGCTTATTATTGTGAGAGTCCTACCCTTAACTTTGTGACAACATATGTGGTTAACTTGTCTCACCCTTAACTTTGCGACAACATATGTGGTTAATCTAATATCATTGTTACGTATTATTCTCTTTTTTGTAATTTATTTTCTAAGTGAAAAGTTAAAATTCTTTTCCATGTTTATTATGAAAAACTGGAAAAAAAAAAAAAAAAGAAAATCAAACTCCTTTTCGTATGCGGCAGAGGATAAGTCAGTTTATCTTCCGCGCGAGCTTCGTTCCTTTCCCTCTCAACTTTCACTCTGAACCCTAAGAAAACCCAATCGACTTCCTCAATCGATCTCATACACTGCTGCGTGCAAGAAAGATTCTGATCCAGAAGAGCTGAGTTCACCGCTAGTAAGTCATCGACTCCGCATTTTTCATCTTCTCCTCCAGCTGATCGTTACTTCTGTTTTCATATCCCTGAAATCCTCTGGCATGTTCGGTTTTTCTTTGTGAATCATGTCGATTTCATGGTCGATTTGATTTTACTGGTGGTTGTATGCGTTGCCTCCCCCTTTTTGAATCTATTTCAGTCGATTGCTAGGACCTGATTAGGGTAAGGAAACGTTAATATGCATTATGTCTTTTCCTTTTGATTGCTTAACTTATGCATTTTAATGGTGGGAAAGGAAAAAGGGGAAATAAGAGTCTCCATATGATTCCTTGATTTCTCCATGCTCATATCCTTTGATTTGCCTCAACTCTTAAGGCTTCTTTCTCTCTCGTATTGGGGATGTCTCGTGGGGGGTTTCTGATTTTGATGTTGGAATATAAGTGGGTTCGCTTAACTGATATCCTTCATATTCATGTTAGGGAGCTTTTTCTAAGAGATGGACAGTAGGCTATGATCTCTTTGTGTTGTATGCTCTGGCATTTTTGAATCATTAGGTGGCGTTTTGTAACCAATAGGTTTGTAATTGTGCAAACTTGACATGTCTTCATTAGCCTGTTTGCAGACATATAGAGTACGTATGAGATACTAATATAGCATATGTCATCTTTTTTGCAGGTATGCTTGTTGTTCATTGTATCTTCAGCTTGCAACTGAGATAACAACATACATGTGAAGGTCAGTATTACCTTTACGCTTAATCGGAATGAACAGAGATTGGATTAATCTAGGAAATAGATTCTGTGATGAATATGTTGCGGGGGTTAGTGAATTCCTAGGGGTTGCAGCTAATCATGTTGATGCACTCGGTAGGACTAGATGTCCATGCAAGAAGTGCAATAATATTTATTTTAAGAACTTAAACTTGGTGAAAACTGACCAGTTTAAGAACGGCATGGTCGATACGTATACTACATGGATTCACCATGGCGAATCATATGATTTTGGAAGTAGTAGTACCCTAAACCAGCCTCCTAACTCTCCTATTCAAGCTGAAACTGAAGGGTTCAATGATGATATCACTAAAATGTTAGAAGATGTGGGTCGAGCTGCTGAAATTTCTTCTACAACAGGGGTTGCATCATCGACCGATAATATGATAATACCTACTAATGGTCCCCTAAATCCATAATGGAAGAAATTTTCAAAAATTTCTTACGTCATGAAAATGATGAATAACAAGTTCCTCACCAATAGTAGTGATAAAGCATTCAACTTGAATCTGGAATTATTCAAGGATGCTTTACCACATGGGGAGACACTTCCTAATTCATTTTATGAGGTTAAGCGGTACATGCAAGATCTTGGGTTTGGTTACACTATTATAGATGCATGTCCAAAATGTAATGAACATAGGTATAAACCTGGGAAACAAAAAGAGGTAGCCCAAAAGAACTAGGTATTTACCCATAAAAGATAGGCTACAAAGACTATTCATGACAAAGGAGATTGCAAAAGACATGAGGTAGCACAAGGCCCTTTGTATGACCAAGGCCCTTTGTATCATTAGTAATATGGGCCAAGGTGTTGATGTTGATAATAGAAACGTAGGTTTAGACAAAACGGAAAATACGAAATGGAACAAACAGATTTATGTGGTTTCCTTGAACGTTGTGCTCAAGACTAGTCCACGGACAAAGCTAGCTTCTTTTCTTATTCTTTTGTAGCTTTATCAAGAGTTATATGTACATATTTATACCCATAAACCCTTAGCCCTCTCCGAATCCTCTTTTCCTACGTACAAGCTATTTACATGTGGGTTGCAAGCCCAAGGTACTTTAACAGCCTCCACCAAATTGATGAGTATCTCTCATCATCAATTTGCTAGAAAGATAGGAATGACGAGCAACAGTAGAGGCCTTCGTGAACAAATCAGCAAGCTATGCTTCTGACGAGATATAAGATACAACGTATGTAATGAACGTGTACCTCAATATGCTTAGTACGATCATGAAGGACTGGGTTTGTGGCAATACGTATGGCACAAGTATTATCAACATATAACTCCATCGGCTTTTAACACACAATGCCAAAATCCTCTAGCAATCCCTGCAACAAATCTAGTTCAGATGTAACATCTGACATAGCCCGATACTCTGCCTCTATAGATGACATAGACGCCCGATCTTGTTTCTTGTAGCGCCATGAAATTACTGAGTCACCTAAGCGAACACACCACCCTATAGTGGACCTCTGAGTACCACAAAACCAGCATAATCCGAATCAGAAAACGCCTGAAGCACCAACGATCCCTGACTAGGCAAAAATAGCCCGACATCTCGTGTCCCCTGTAAGTAATGCAAAATCCTGTGAACTGCATCTAAGTGAGCAATTCTTGGTGCTGCCATGAACTGACTCACTATCTGAACTGCATATGCGATATCCGGACGAGTGGAAGCCAAATACATTAAGCTCCCAACTATAGATCTATATTGCTTCCCCCGTCCTCTAATAGTTCATCTGTCTCCCGCCTGAACTTAAGATGTAGCTCCATGGGAATCGATGGAGGATTACAGTCGGCAAAACAAGCAGCATCAAGAAGATCGATAATATACTTCCGCTAAATATGTAAGACACCCGCGCGAGTATGATCCACATCAAGACCAAGGTAGTATGAAAGAGAGTCGAGTTCCTTGAGGTGGAACGACTGGTGAAGACCTTAGTAAGTGCTCGAATACCATTAGCATCATCTTCGGACACAATCATATTTATCATTTTAATTTTTTCATAATAAAGTATTTTACTCGACAAATATCCATTTTGACATACACATTTGTCACATTAAGTACATATTATGACAAAATTATTTCATCGCTACTATTTTGTCAAAATATCATTGGATGGAATGAATATGCCAAGTATAAAATAACAACATATTCGTCACCATAATATTTATCACATTATATATCATATCATATTTATAATTATAAATGTGTTTTGTCATAATAATATTTAAGTTTTCTTTTCTACCATGAAAAACTAAATTTGGTCGTATAAAGTAGTAAATATGTATTAATTGGAGGGAACTTGTAGAGCAAAAATTAAATTATTTGATTTGAAAAATAGTGGATTATCATAATATTTAAATTTTTATATCTATTATGATAAAATAATTTGGTCATGGAAATTTGTCAACATCCATATGACAATTTCTTTTCTATTATAAAATATATCGTGTAATATCTATTTTTTATCCTAACATTTTTCAGATTCTTTTATATTATTCAAATCTATTAAAATGCTATTAATTAGCCAATTTTTTTTTTGTAATGCATCAAAATATTAGCCATTTTTACGTTATCGTTTATAATTTGATAACTCTTTTCTTAGTTAAAATACTAAAACTTTGGAATGTTGATCTTCATTTATCTCTTTCAAGTAAGTATCATGTTGCCAAGTCAATATTACTAACAAAATTGCTAAGTGAAAGTTAACATTTGGCTAATTTTTAGTATTTCGATAGGTTTGGATAATATAAAAGAATATGAAAAAGGTTTGGATAAAAAATAGACATTACCCTAGAATTTTGTTCAATTTTTGATTGGCGGCACTAACGGTGGGAAACATAAAAATGTGTTATGTTATAAAATAATAGGTTTGTCACAAGATGATATCTATGTCGGCAAACTCATTTGTCGTAATAATTGATAAATACAAATTTAATATGACAAAAAGTATAAAAATGACAAAAAAAAACCCCGAAACCATGACAAAAAACCTTGCTTCTGTGACTTAGAAGCCTGGTTTATGTCCTCAAATGGAGATCACATGGGTCTCGTTGGGCTCATACACATATGATTTCCTATTTTGGGTCTATTGATCAATAAGTTGCTATGTATACTTTTCAACCCCTTTATAAGTTGTATCCTACTCAATTATAGTGAAACTGAGTTTTCTTGTCCGATGACGTAGTTAAAATTCATAGTATTAATGAACCACATAATTTTGTGTGTTCTTTACTTTCTTACATTATTGATTTCTCGTTCCGTATAATAACCCTAACTGTAAACTCTAAAATCTAAATTCCTAAATCATGAACTATGAAAACAATCTTGCACTACAAGAAAATTTTCGTATTTCATCGATGCCGTTGTGTCGGTGAACCGACAACAAATGGCTATTATGTGTATGTATTTTGTGTCAGTTGTATGACCATTTTGGTAATTTTGTGTTAATTTTCCTAGAGATGACACAAAGTTTAGTTTTGGCTAAATAAATTCTAATTTTCATTGGTTGCCCTCCGAAAATTTAAGTTTTGACATTTGGTGGAAAGAAACCCGCCTATTCCCTTTTTGTTTTTCACTAATCCAGTTGTATTACCTTCCACTTTCTCTTTCTTCCTCCCCTTTCCCAACCCTAGACGCATGCCATCTTATCAACTGCAGTGTTTCAAAATACCCGGCCGCTCACCTGAAATACCCGACCAGATATTATGGCCGGGTATCGCGCCGTGCTGCCTTTTGAGGAAAGAAGACCAATTTTCCAAAGGGATCCGATTTTGGGAGCTAGAGAGCTGAAAATCTAGAGAGAGAAAGTGATGAACATAACTTCTAAGTGCCCTAAATCGATCTTCAACACCATCGGAGCTCGGTGGAAGCTTGGAGGAGAGCCGATTGATCACGAGAAGCAGATCCTCATCCTTCACAATATGAATTCCGCATCTTAAGCAGATTTTCCTTCACTCTCTATGGAGTAAACTCCCTTTCTCACCTGGGTATGAAGAACCCTAGATTTGTATGTTAGGTCTGAACCCAAGTACGGATTCTTTGATATCGATTATATTCAATTGAGGCATGATTTTCTGAATTACACGAATCCTGATCAAATTCCTGTTATTTCTACTTTGACCTGGAATGAGAATATCTCCATAGGTTGATAGAGCACCCTTGATTGAAGGTAGTGAATCGACGACTTTAGTGGAGGAGTTGATTCACTATTATGTACCGGATTTATTCCAGTAGAGGAGGTTTGGTACGTAGGGCCTCAGTCTGTTTACTCCGGTGGAGGTTAGTCGCCCGCTGGGGATTCAGATTGAGAGGGTGTGGAGACCTTTAGTCGAGACTGCAGGCTACCTAAGAACCTTCCGCATTTTAACTATAATTGAATCTGAACTTGGCAAATTACAACTTGGCTTAACTGCAATCTAGGGGGAACCATATCTGGGTGACCTCTCTCGAACTCGGAAAACAACATTTATTGCTTTTGCTTGTTAGTTTAGTTGGAATGTCATTACAGGTTGACTGCTAAATAATAAGATTCTCACGCAGTAGTCATCACACCTAGGACCCGGGTTGACATTTAGAACTAAACCCACTATACTGCGCATTAGTAGGTGGTTACACTTGGCCACTTTCTAGTGTGACGGTAGGAGCGAGTCAAGTTTTTGGCGTCGTTGCCGGGGATGGCTAGGTTGTTGAAAAAACGTGATTTATGTTACTTTAGCATTTCTTTTCCGCATTGATTGTTTTGCTTTGTCCCACTTGTGCCTTTACGGGTTTGCTTTCTTGGATTGTGTGCAGGTAGTGTATGACCCGTAGCCAGTCGGGAGACTTACTACCGTTAGACTTGGAGCTAGAACACATTTGTTGCCAGCTAAGGAGACAACAGCGAGCAAGACTGGCTACGGATGAAGTGCACGTCGACGGCCATCTGAGCAGCGACTCTGGAGAGGAATACAAGATGGGCAATCAGCACAACTGGGGGAACCTGAACCTGGGGCAGAATCAACCCCTAGGGATGCCCGTGTAGGTCCCCCCCAGTGAATCAGATCCTAGCAAATAACCCAGTTCCCCAGGAAGATGGGGCTCAGCATCCACCACCCCCGCTGGGTCCTACTATGGAGTACTACTACACTCCACGGGTCGCCGACATCTGCCCCGTCATCTTTTATCCGCCCATCCCAGCAAATAACTTTGAGACCAAGCCATGCTGGATTCAACTGATCACATCCTCCATCCAGTTCCATGGCCTCAAGGAAGAAGAGGCAAGGGTTCCCCTTTCGTGGTTCTTGCAGTTTACCAATGGGTACAAGCTGAATGGTGTACCAGATGACGTGATCCGTCTTCACCTCTTCCCCCACTATCTGGCAGGGCATGCAAAGAGGTGATTAGAGACCCAACTCCCACTGTCCATCACGTCATGGGACGATCTTGCCGACAAGTTTGTGAACATGTACTATCCAGCTTCGAAGACCACGGAGATTCAACGAGAGATCACTCATTTCTTCCAGGAGCCAGATGAGTCACTACGTGATGGCTGGGAGCGGATTCGGGTTTCCTCTGGCAGTGTCCCCATCACGGTGTTAGTGATGCATTTATAGTGGGGAATTTCTACAGTGATCTAACTACAGAGAGCCAGAGGGTGATCGAGTCTCTATGCCCAGGAGGGGATATTCTCACCAAGACTCCACCCGAGCTGAATCAGATGATTAGTACTCTGGCTGATAGAGATCACTCTTGGGGGCAGAGTACTAGAGGCAGGAGTTCCAGATAGAGGTGTGCATTCTATGGAAGCTAGATTCGGGCTAGAGTGGGAGAGTGGGAGGTTACCGAGCTGGTCCAGACCTGAAAGCAGCCCAACAGTCCCATTCCGGGCAGAGGATTGGTTGACCATTCGGTTGCACAGTGCCAGTGGTGTGAGAGCTCCACCCACTTGGTAGAAGAATGCCAGGCTATGCAAGAGTCTACTACACCCCAGGAGCATTTGGACTTCATTGCCAATGCTCGGCGCATGGATCCTACAGTGGAACATATAACGAAGGGTGTCGCCAGTATCCCAACTTCTCTTGGAACAACAATACCAGCACCACCACCAAAACCCCGGGCTTCCCAGATAGAGCTGGTGGTTTTCAACAAATGCAGCCCTTCAAGGCCATACAAGGGCAACCATTTCAGCAGCAGCAGAGATAGTATGCCCAACCAGCAGCAGCTCCAGCAGAGGATGATCAGATGTCAGAGATGAAGAACATGGTGCAGACCTTTGTGAGCGCCAGTACGGCGAATTTTGCCAGGCTGGACCAGCGCATTACCTCGCTGGAGGCAGGCTAGAGGAACTAGGGTGCCATACTTCTGAACCTCCAGAACCATATTGGAGGCATAGCCCACCAGAACACCACCAGAGCACCGGGAACGCTGCCTGCCACCACTATTCCAAATCCTCGCGAGCCTCACCAGCAGCTCGATGCCATCACTACTCGAAGTGACAAGACAATATATGTTATCCTTGCTCCGGCCAGGCAGGAAGAGCCAACACCTGTTTCAGCACTTCCAGCTGACAAAGAAGAGGTGGGGATTGAGAAGGAAGAACCTGCTCCCAAGCCACAGCCAATGGTTAAGGAGCATGTTCCCCAGCTTCCCTTCCCCACTCGACTGCACAAGGATAAGCTGGAGACAGTTTTCCAAATTCATGGCAATGTTGAAGCAAGTCAACATCAGCCTGCCTTTCAAGGAGACACTATGGAAGATGGCCAAGTACGCCAAGTTCATGAAGAGATCCTTACCAACAAAAAGAAATTTGGGGTTCTATCGACAGTGATGCTGAGTGAGGAGTGTTCTGTCAACCTGGAGAACAAGCTGCCCGAGAAGCGCAAAGACCTAGGGAGTTTACTATCCCTCTTGTCATTGGCAGCATGCATGTAGGAAAGTCTTAGGCGGATCTAGGCGCTAGTATTAATATCATGCCCTATAAATTGTTTAAGAAGCTAGGCCTAGGTGAACCTAGAGTCACTAGGATGAGCATTCAGCTCGCTGATCGCTCTATTGTGCATCCTAGGGGTATCATAGAGGACTTGCTTGTTAATGTGGGTACATTCACATATCCTATTGATTTTGTTATTGTGGATATAAATGAGGATGTGGATGTGCCTTTGATTTTGGGTAGACCGTTTCTCGCCACCGCCAAGGTGCTTATTGATGTGCATAGTGTCAAGTTAATCTTGCGTGCTTGGATTATTGTGATATGTTGGCTGATTTTGAGACCGCACTCACCATCATGAGTGCGGGTACTAACGATGCCCTTGAGCGTTGTATTTTGCTAGGTGAGCAGGCATCATAGGAGCTGCAGCGGGAGGAGAAGCTAGCCGCTCTGGAGAGCTGCGAATTTCTGGAGGGTGCCAAGTATTTCAAGCCGATCTCATCCTCTTCTCGCATCACCACCTCTCTAGAGGAACCACCAGAGCTGGAGCTAAAGCCCCTCCCTCCTCACTTGGAGTATGCATTTCTCCAGGAGGGGAACAAGCTTTCAGTCATTATTAGCTCGACCCTCACACCCGAGCAGAAGGCCAGGCTGGTGGCCTTGTTGAAGCAGTACGAGCGAGCGCTGGCATGGAAGATCACTGATATCCGGGGGGGATCAGCCCCTCATTCTGTTCCCACCGGGTACTGCTATAGAATGAGATGCGGCCAGTGAGACAGCCCTAGTAGAGACTGACATTGAACCTAGAGGTTGTGGTTCGGGCGGAGATCGTGAAGCTGATCGATGCGGGGATCGTCTTTGCTATTTCTGACAGTGAGTGGGTCAGTCCCACCCAGGTGGTGCCTAAGGTGGGCGGGCTGACCGTGGTACCCAATGAGAAGAACGAGCTCATACCTGTGCACACAGTGATCGAGTACCGTGTTTACATCAACTACCATCGCCTCAACGACGCCACCCGAAAGGATCATTTCCCGCTGCCTTTCATTGATCAGATGTTGGAGAGGCTGGCGGGGCACAATTACTACTGTTTCTTGGATGGGATGTCCGAGTATTTTCAGATGCCCATTGCACCAAAGACCAGGCGAAGACCACCTTCACCTGTCCTTTTGGCACAATCACCTACCTGAGGATCCCATTCAGGCTATGAAATGCCCTGGGCACATTTTAGAGCTGCATGCTGGCATCTTCGACCGACTGGTCGGAGAAATCATGTAGGTGTTTATGGACGAATTTTCAATCTATGGGGACTCATTCTCTCACTGTCTCCATAACCTGGAACTCGTCCTAAAACGGTGTGAGGAGACGAACCTGGCGCTGAGTAGGGAGAAGTGACACTTCATGGTTTGTTAAGGCATACTTCTGGGGCACAAGATCTCCAAGATGGGGATAGAGGTAGACAGAGCCAAGATCGAGAAAATCAGCAAGCTTCCTCCTCCCACATCTGTCAAGGGGATCCATAGTTTCATGGGCCATGTGGGGTTCTATAGGCGCTTCATTAAAGACTTCTCCAAGATGGCCTTGCCCCTAACAAAGCTCCTTGAGAAAGATGCCCCCTTCCAGTTCACTGACGTGTGCGCAGCGGTATTCACGAACCTGAAGGAGAAGCTCACTCATGATCCTATCATGGTCACTCCTAACTGGTCTTTACCGTTCGAGCTGATGTGCGACGCCAGTGACTTTGCTGCTGGAGCTGTTCTAGGGAAGAGGCGAGATCAGCACTTCCGTCCTATCTACTACGTCTCCAAGACCCTTAACGATTCCCAGGAGAACTACACCACCACGGAGAAGGAGCTGCTAGCCATTCCTTACCTGATGAGCAAGGCCGATGCCAATCCTTGACTCATACGATGGATCTTATTACTGCAGGAGTTCGATATCGAGATCTGGGACAATAAGGGGGCCAAAAATGTTGCTGCCGATCATCTCTCCTGGTTGGACGCACCTCATGCACACAACCACGTGGAGGAGATCAACGACTCCTTCCCAGATGAGCGACTGATGATGATGTGCTTGGTGGAGAGTGTCACCCCTGTGAACTCTGATTTTGCAAATTATCTGGTGGGCTAGCAGCTGCCCAAGGGGAGGGCATTCTGTCTCATTTCTATGAGGTACCTACTGGAGGGCACCATGGTAGTAACCGCACGGCACGGAAGGTGCTACAGTCGGGCTTCCACTAGCCCTCGCTCTTCAAGGACGCCGATACCTTCGCACGCAGGTGCGATCGATGCCAGAGGTCAGGTAACATCTCTGCCCGTGATGAGATGCCCCAGAATGTGTTTATAACTTGTGAGATTTTTTATGTCTGGGGTATCGACTTCATGGGCCCCTTCCCTCCATAATTTGGCAATACATACATCTTACTTGTTGTTGATTACGTCTCTAGGTAGGGTGAGGCACAAGCTTTTCCCACCAATGATGCTAGACGTGTTTGTCAGTTTCTGAAGCAGTTTTTCTCCCGGTTCGGGACACCTAGGGCTATCATTAGCGACAGAGGGACCCATTTCCAGTGTAGTTCGATAAATTGCTATCCTGCTATGGTGTCACCCACAAGGTGTCCGTGGCCTGCCACCCTAGACGAGTGGTCAGGCTGAGCTGACGAACCGGAAACTTAAGCGCATACTGGAGAAAATGGTGGATCAATCCCGCAAGGATTGGTCCACCAAGCCCGATGATGCTCTCTGAGCATACCGGGCTGCCTACAAGATGTCAATTGGTACTTCACCTTATTGGCTTGTCTATGGAAAGGCATGTCATATCCCCGTGAAGCTAGAGCACAAGGCCTTATGGGCCCTTAAGCTGCTCAATTTGGATGTTAGTGTTGCAAGTGTTGAACGAAAATTGCAGATGTTGGAACTGGAGGAATGGCGTTACCACACCTACGAAAACACCAAGTTGTACAAGGAGCGCACTAAGGGGTCCGAAGGATTTTCAGGTTGGCGATCGAGTTCTCATCTATAACTCTCGTCTGAAGCTCTTTCCCGAAAAAACTCCGCTCTCAGTGGTCTGGACCGTTCACGGTCACACAAGTGTTCCCGTATGGCAAGATCGAGATTGCAAACCCGCAGACTGAGCCATTTAAAGTGAATGGCCATCGTCTCAAGCTCTACCTGGGAGACGAGGTTGAACATGCGGATTTGGCAACTAAACTAGCAGACCCTTAGTTTCGCCATGGGCGTCCAACTAAAACACGGTAAAGAAGCGCTTGTGGGGAGGCAACCCTACAACGTTTTGCATTTCTGTCCTTTGTCCCCATTGTTTTGTGTGTGTCGAGTTAGGTCCTTCGGTATGCCTTGTTTTGGGTGTTTTTCGTGCAGGGGTGTTCGAAAAAAATGAGAAAATCGAAATTTGGCCGAGAAGGGGAAAATACCCGGCCGGGTATTTTGGCATCACGGCCGGGTCCCCTTTTGATTAGGGGGCGAAAAAAGCAGGAATACCCGACCTTGACACAAAATACCCAGCCGGATTTCCCCCCTGTCGTGATTCGCTGAGGATGGGAAATACCCAACCGCGACCTCAAAATACCTGACCGGGTATTTTTGAGGCCCGACCGGGTATTTCGGTTTAAAAGTAAATCCCCGGTCAGCCCCGCTCTCTCTCATCTCATTTTTTTTCAGAACCCCCTCTCTCTTCCTTCCCTCTTCCTCTCCTGCTCTCTCGTCGGAGTAGTTTTCTTCATCGAAGTTTCGTAGATCCCGTCTTTGTCCAACCTCCAATTTCAAATCCCCTTTGTGGGGAACCCCTTTGCCATAAATTTCTCCCGCTTTGGGCGAGTTCCAATTTTTCCGACCACCGCCGACGATTTTTGGCGAGCGCCCCGGGTCGTTTCCTCTGTGGTTTTGCATCCCTCACCCCTTTCCTGAGCCCGTCTACGGTCCTACTTGCGTTTCTAGGTGTGTTTCTTGCTCAACTTGTTTTTCTCTGGAAAATCAGAATGTTGACAATAGGCCCGAGAATTGTGATTGGTTTGACATGTTTGAACGAGAATAGGATGAGGGACGCAGTGGATGTGAGTTGTTCATGAATGATGGATGCCTAATTGTGCCTTGCTTTTACCATGATTCTGCTTGATTGGCGGTTGGTTTGTTTGCACATCAACTGCTTTGTGCTTAAGTGCTTACCCTAGGTGGTCCTTCAAGTGTGGGGGAGCTGTTGAACCCATACTTGCGGGCCTAATGAGAATTTTCTTAGCTCTACCTGTGGTTTGTTGCATGTGCAGGATCATGTCGCTCGCCCATGCCTACATGCAGGACCTGCGCCTGCACCCTGACTTTGCAGGACAGTACGCTAAGGTCATCAACGGCGTGTTTCACCGCCATCATCACCTCGAGTTCGACATTTTCCACCAGCTCCACTGCATGCGAGAGATCGTCGCTGCCATCAGCCACCCTCATTGGACGGTCCCCCTGTCCGCCTCTGATTCCACCTACATCGAGCTAGTTTGGGACTTCTACTCCACATTCAAGTACCGCTGCAAGGCATCTCGACACTCCACCACCAGTGTCACCTTCCGACTCGGCGGGCAGATGCGGGAGATGAGCCTCGATGGGCTAGCCCATGCTTTGGGATCCATTACCACCCATACTCCCACCACCACAAGAAAGTTCCCCATCCCGCCGACTAGAACCAGGATGAGTTCTACGGCCGCATCACCTGCCCTGACATCTAGGGGAACTTCTTCGAGGCCAGCCAGACGATAGTTTCTACCATCCGACCCGAGTGGCACATCATCAACCTCCTGCTCACTAGTTCGATCATCCCCAATGCCACGGGTACTCTATGGGGAACCCTGACCACCTGCTGCACCTAGGGTCTGTTGTGGCCACCACTTTTGCTTGGTGCCACAACAAACCCACTTACTTCTTTTGTGGTCCCCTGATCATGAAACTGGCTCGTCACTTCGAGATCGACTTGGCGAGATTGACTGATCCTATGGAGTATGGCGGCTCTGCACCCTCAATAGGGAGATCATCCGCAACGCCCTGCTGTTGCTTCTGCAGAGGGGCGGGAGTGGGTTGATGGTTTATCCAAGCCACCAGACAAGGAGGATGCAGATGAGGAGGGTGATGAGGAGGATGAGGACTACACTGGCGAGGATGAGGTCGGTGATGATGATGATGATAGGGGTGCTATGGATGCTGATGAGCCGAAGCTCCCGCTCTCCCCTCTATGGGATATTCAGCCACGATGGAGACCCGAGCGGGGCCAGTCCTCCTCAGGTCCTTATGGTCCATCGATAGACTTCTTCACAGAGTAGTTTCACCAGATTGGGCTCTAGTTTCAGCAGCTCGGGGTCCAGAACCAACAACTCATGGACCATCAGGTCCAGTTTTATCAGCAGTATTCAGCCCACCAGGCCGAGTACCACTCTCGGATGATGGTTGTGGACGAGCGCCTCGACCGGTTGGAGGCTCAGCATGGAATCACCAGTGCTTGCATCGAGCGGGATCAGACACGCAGCCGACGGATGATGGAGTACTAGGAGCACCTCTTCAGTCCTGCCATCCATCGCAGGAGCACCACTGCACCACCCGGTGGGACAACTCACCCCTCCCCCCCCCCCCCCCCCCCCCCCCCCCCCCCCCCCCCCCCCCCCCCCCCCCCCCCCCCCCCCACCGACAAACGGGGTTGACATCTCATGGAGCAGATTGATTTCAGCCAGCTCGAGTAGGCTGTACTCGCTGGTCCTTTTCTGTTTGTTTCATTTTGAGTCAGAGTGCAAACTGGATTTGGTGTTTTGTTTTGGTTTGATTTTCATTGGATGATGTACCATTGGGCTGACAACTTGACCTAACGTATATGTGCTTGAGTGATTGTGTTTTCTCTAGCCCGTGCCATTATGATGACTTGTCCCATTTCCAGTCCTCCTCACTCCGAGTGGTCCACTTTCCAGTCCCACTACAACCTGCTAATACCGGTAACATCGTTCCCCTTATCCTTCCCTCTTCTCCATTGAGGGTGTCGAACTTAAGTGTGGGGGGATGTTTCTATTTGACGGTTTAGATCTGTTTGTGTGCTTGGAGCCTAGTCCACTTTCCAAATTTTTAAATTTGAGGGCTCAAAGTACTGTTCCCCACGATAACCTGCTTAGTATGCTTTGAATTGACAGTCTTTATGGTGATATGCAACCTAGGGAGGTAGTGGTAGCACTATGGAGGATGTTGAAGTATAAGATTTTTCCTATCTATCTCTCTGCTGTGTCGGTTGATTTTGTGAACTAGTGGATTTAAGACCGTTGAATTCATGTGGTATTGGTGACTCCTTTTAAATTGTGTAGTGGACTCGTGTATCCAAACAGGGTGCTTAGGTGTGAAATGAAAAGCAGTTGGTCCTCCATGTCAGAATAATTGAAATCTTAAACATGGGGTAAGCCCAACGTGTGTGGCACCGTTCATTGCACAAAATCGGGTTTTGGAAGAGATTTTAGTGATCCTTAGTGGGGTACTCCTACAAGGTGAAGCTAAGTTGTCCCTATTACAAGTAAAATTTTCACCCGTTGAACGGTTTGCCTACTCGAGGATGTGTTATTAAGGGCACGTGACAGATGTACAGAAATTTCTCTTGCTCCACACGAGTTGAGGAAAAGGAGTTAAAGGAAGTATTCTGGCGAGTGACAGATGTACAGAAATTTCTCTTGCTCAACTAATAAGGATCGACCGTACAAAAACTGCAGTTGGTACCCGCACAAAGTGAATGGAAAAAGAAAGGAAATGTAAAATGGAAGTGCGGAAAGGGGTTCCAACGGTTGAAATGAAGTGAAAGGGCACCCCGATACAATGAGTCCTTGGTTGTTGAATTGTGTGAGTCCCTTTATCCATGAATTGATTGTCTTAGTCCCATTACTTCTCATGATCCTGGCTTGAGTTTAGTACTCGCATTGATAGAGATAGGGGACGTCTTATAAGACCCGTTCACCTCGTAAGCTGCTATATGATCTAGAAAATCCTCTACCGACGATCGGGGTTGTGTGTTGCTATAGAGGTCTGGAGAGCTGCATTGGTTTGAGTCAGGTTTGCATGGGGACAAGCAAATAGTTAAGTGTCGGGGAATTTGATAAACCATTATTTGCAAATGTTTAGACAACCATTCTTGAGTCATATGAGGTCGATTCTCGTGTTTTAAACCGATTTCACGCTAGGTTGTGCGCTAATGTCATATTTCAGGACTTGGGGTGGACATGGAGGCGTGGAAATAAGTTTTGGGTCAAAAAGGAGGAAGTTGGAGTGAAGGGCGATGGAGGAAGGAAATACCCAGTCGGCCCTTGAAATATCCGACCGGGTAAAGTGGTTTCGAACGCCAGAAATCCAGATGGGGTCCCGGCCGGATAGCTAAAATACTCGATCGGGTATTCTAGACCTCGATCGGGCATTAGCCCTTCTCCACTGTGCAGCATTTCAAAATACTCGGTCGCTCACCTGAAATACCCGACCGGGTATTATGGCCGGGTATCGCGTCCTGCTGCCTTTTGAGGGAAAGAAGACCAATTTTGCAAAGGGATCCGATTTTGGGAGCTAGAGAGCAGAAAACCTAGAGAGAGAAAGTGACGAACAGAACTTCCAAGTGCCCTAAATCGATCTTCAACACCATTAGAGCTCGGTGGAAGCTTGGAGGAGTGCCGATTGATCACCAGAAGCAGATCCTCATCCTTCACAGTATGAATTCCGCATCTGAAGCAGATTTTCTTTCACTCTCTATGGAGTAAACTCCCTTTCTCACCTGGGTATGAAGAACCCTAGAATTGTATGTTAGGTCTGGTTGTATGAACCAAAGTACGAATTCTTTGATATCGATTATATTCAATTGAGGGCTGATTTTCTGAATTACATGAATCCTGATCAAATTCCTATTATTTCTGCTTTGACCTGGAATGAGAATATATGCATAGGTTGATAGAGCACCCTTGATTGAAGGTAGTGAATCGACGACTTTAGTGGAGGAGTTTGATTCACTTTTCTGTATTGGATTTATTCCAGTAGAAGAGGTTTGGTACGTCAGGCCTCAGTCTGTTTACTCCGGTGGAGGTTAGTTGCCCGCTGGGGATTCAGATTGAGAGGCTCTGGAGACCTTTAGTCGAGACTGCAGACTACCTAAGAACCTTCCGCAGTATAACTATCATTGAATCTGAACTTGGCAAATTACAACTTGGCTTAACTGCAGTCTAGGGGGAACCATATCTGGGTGACTTCTCTCGAACTCGGAAAACAACATTTACTGCTTTTGCTTGTTAGTTTAGTTGGAACGTCATTACAGGTTGACCGCTAAATAATAAGATTCTCACGGAGTAGTCATCACACCTAGGACCCGATTTGATATTTAGAACTAAACCCGTTATACTACGGATTAGTATGTGGTTACACTTGGCCACTTTCTAGTGTGACGGTAGGAGTGAGTCACTTAGAAGGCTTATGAATGAGAAAGTGCATGGGATAGTTAAAAGTATAGGATTTGTATATCAAAGGGAAATGGATTGGCCTTAATGGGATACTTGGAAATGGTATTGCATGGTCACTTAAATCAAACACAAAGATTATCGTGTTTTACACTCAACACAAGATATGGGGAAAGGGATAACATAGTATGAAGACAACGGACGGTGATTCGTTCCGCGGTGGTATGTGATATGATTAGACTGGACTGGGTACGTCCGCAATGGTGTAATGGCACCAGGCTGAGATACGTTCCGCGGTGGTATGTGATATGATTAGACTGGACTGGGTACGTCCGCAATGGTGTAATGGCACCAGGCTGAGATACGTTCCGCGGTGATATGTTTTACTGGAACTAATGATAATCCCTATTCCTATATCTTGGAAGAGTGTATGATTTGGCAAGCTAATTTAGTAAAAGTAATTGAATCAATTTAACCGTGCATGTGATTGAATCCTTGTATAAGAATTTCATACGATGAGGTTATGTAATGACTTCCTATTATGTGATATATGAATTGTGTATGTGGATGATATAGTTATGTGATAGTTTTCTGTAGTATTTTATATATTGATATGATATGGGAGTGCATGATGAAATGAATGGATATGTGTGTTATGGAATGAAATTTCCTATATCATGATGTTTGTGTGATGTGGTATGGTATGTGACATGTGTTGTCAGACCATGGCTGAATGTGACGATGTATTGTCGGTTGTTATAATATAGTAATTTATATGAATGAGTCATGGATGATAAGAGAAGTACTTTGGGGGCACAACATCACTCGTTACTATTTTGGTATTGATGTTTGTATTAGGTCATTATTTAGTCATTGAGTGACGTCTCACTCCATCAATATTTTTCCCAGATTCAAAGCGATCGTGATAGAAGAAGACAAGTCAGTCGACCTGAGGGGGATGACATAACTGAACTCTCCACATGTTTTTATTTGGTATATTGGAGGAAAGTGTTCCTCCTAAGTCTTGTCCTAAATAGATGTTGTTCAATATGAAATGTTTGCTAGTGATGTCTAAATGGTGGAAGGGTGTTATAGCTCTGAATTGGCTTGTGGTTGACTTTCGATTTTGCAAGTTATTACTAATCAGTTGCAACTTAGTAAGTGTAAGGTGGGGCTAAATTCTTGTGTCTTGTTAGCTCTAATAAGTTCGATTTGCCAAATGGGTAACGTTGTTTCTCATTTTATGTTATTTTGTCTGGAAGTACTTCTTTCTGTAATTATGTTGAGTTTTTTTCTTTCACTTGCCCTAAGTAGTTGAAGTGCATTTTATTTTCATTTGTATCTTGCGTCAATTTGTTATAGATCTCCAAAAGTAAATTCCCGTTGTGGCAGTTATAGGATTCAACGACATCCAACTCTAGCACTCAATCACTATAGTTGAAATTATTCTGATGCATTTTCTTAAAGCCCTTGAAGTGACTTTACCTTGAAATTATTCCAAAAGGATGCGCTAGTGTTGAAGTTCAGGTTTCCAACTTAGAGAAAGTGTATTTGAGTCTTCATATCCAGATTAGCTAGCATGTCTGTCCACTGAACTATTCTATTTTGTTTATCATTTTCTTTGTTTCTTCTTTATTGACATGAAGTTTTTGATGATGAAATGCAGGAAACAACAGTAAGTGTCTTCAGCTACTGTTTTTTATGACAATAAACTGCATTTCTCTGAGTTTGAACAACCTAGTGCTTCTGGGATAAAAAAAACAATAGCCAATTTCATACGATCTTGCCATCACAATTCAGTATTCACAAATCCTCTCAAGATATTTGGTGAACAAGGCACTTGAATTCCAAATTTCTAACTATATAACTGATATGCATGGTGTGTTTGGTTATGTAAATTGAGTTATTTGTAATTGTAAGTCTGCTTAACTCTACTTTTTTCACACCTTTGGGAGATATTTATCAGAGTTGGGTTTATTTAACAGACAAGAATTGATAGTGGTTCCTTATCAGAATGGTATGAGTTACTTTTAAGAAAACCCATTAAGATATAAAGTAGCTTGGGTATTGATAACTTGTGATTTGATTTTGGTATTGGTTTGTTATTATGCATATTAGCAAATACCAAGTGAGGGTTGAAAGTTCTTAGTAGGGTTGTATTTGTTTTCGCAGAGCTTCTCAGTGTTCCTAAGAATGCTAGTAAAGACTTCAATATTTGGGACAATTGTGTTATTTATCATAATTTTCAGAGTTGTTGACAGAATTAGCATATGCCAGATTATGACAAAATGACTTCACCACAAAAAATACAGATTATTCATAAATACAATTATGACAATAACAGTCTATCAAGACAAACATATTATGAAAAAAATGAAAACAAACCCATACTATATATCGTGACAAACTATTATAACAAAATTAGTAAATTACTTTATGCAACTATATAATTTGTCACAACCACGTACCAAAATTTGCAACTATCGTGATAAAATTCGATTTTATTATGAAAAAATATTTCTCTATTTCGATAAAATGTTTTGTCAAAAATAGGGGTCCTATAATGACAAAAATTGGTCGTCATGTTGAAACATATTGGGACAAGACATTACAAATTTGTCATAATAAAGTTTTTTCGACGAGGTAGTTTTGAAGATCATTATGACAAACAAAAAAGTGTCATAAGAAAGTTATTATGACGAAAATTTGTTGTATTATGACAAAATGTTGTTGTCACAATAGACAAAAATTGTTGTGTAAACGTAAGAAAAGTGATGAGCCATTAAGACTGAAGCCAAGCCCTAAGACAGTAGAATGAAACTTATCAAACCATGCACAAGGTGCCTACTTGACACGCCAAAACACAACACGAATCTGCAACCAAGTGTAATCGCAGACCGGGAACGCAGTAACAGGCAAGTTATATTATCAACCCGGGGTCTAGATCTACTGCTTACTCAGTGATTCTCTATTATCTAGCCAACTAAAGTAGGTGATTGTTGTTTAAAAGCAAAAGCAGAAAGAAAGCAGGAAATTATTCGGTTTTCTCAAGCAGGAAAGAGTCACTCGGGAATGAGTCCCCCTAGCTCCTTAGTTAGGTTTCAATTGTATTTCCTTGGTTGATTTACTGTTGATTAGACTGCGGAAGATCCGACAGTAGCTTGGAATCTCTTAAGCTGACCAAGCCCTCTCAGTCTAACTACCCGGCAGACGACTAGTCTTCACCGGGATTGAAAGCTGAAGCAGTAAGAACAGAACTCCACTACTGGAATTGGATTCCAGTACAAAGCAGTAAACTGGCTAACTCTCGTATAGCCAATCTCCTACTATCGAATGATGAGACTCTTGCAACCTAATCAGATTCTATCTATCTCAAATTGCAGCAGGAATCAGGAAAAGTTGATCAGACTTCAATTGACTCAATAAACATGCATCATTCGATTAAAATCAAACAGTAATATCATCCCAAGTCATTACAATCAATCCCTAACACATAGAACTAGGGTTCTTCATCCCCAAGTGAGAGAGGGGTTCTACTCCATAGAGAGAGAGAAGAAAACAAGATACAAAGCAATCATACTCATAATTATGGGAAGAATCTGCTCTGGGATGATGATTTCCACTCCTATGACGATCTCCAAGCTTGATTTGATGAAACCCAGCTCCAAGATGGCTTCTAGGATGTGTTCTTCGTCCTTTCTCTCTCTAGGGCTCTGTTTTTGCTCAAAAAGTCTGATTCCCTCTCTTGCAGCCCGAAATTGGGTTAAAACCAGGAAATCCCGACTCACACGGGCAGGGCCACACGGCCGTGTGGCATACCCAGTTGCCCGTGTGAGTTAAAACGCTGCATTCCAATTAGTTCGATCTTCAGGCTTCTCACACGGCCAGGGTCGCACGGCCGTGTGAGATTTCCATCTGCCCGTGTTTGCTCTCGGCGAAACTCGCACGGCCAAACCACTCCTTCACACGGCCGTGTGAACATCAGGGCAAGCCGTGTTTGCTCTCGCACAGGCATTTCATCGAACACCTTGTGTGCACTATTAAGGTAAACATGAAATTGGCACAATTCTTGCACACAAGGGCTCAAACAGTCAAGAGGGACTTAGCCCAACACAATTCAAACATACTCCATGCATTCTGCTCAATCAATTGCACAAAAATCACAAGATTCAATGAGGTTCTCTAAACATGCACCCTAACACCCAATTCTCCACAATTAACATAGTTAAGGGCAAAATCAAACCTGGAGACTCAAGTAGAGGTGTAGGGGATGATGAGGGGAAGGCGATGGAAGCGACGAAAAGCCGAAAAAGTGTCCGGAAGTGCTCGTCGGAGCCTCGCCGGAGTCTCGCCGGAAATCGCTCCGGCGACAAAAACGTCGGCCAAATCTACTCAAAATGGAGGGATAGGCCGCTTTTGGTGTAGAAAGGGTGGGTTTGTTGTTGGTTTGGTGGAAAAATGACAAAAAATGGCCGAAAAAATCGAAAAGTGTGGTTTTGTCGCGGTTTTCCGGCGAGGATTTTGAAATTTTCTGATGACTCGGCCGTGTTGGCCGAATAAATAGGCCGTGTCTCGGCCACACGGCCTGACTCGCACGGCCGTGCCGACACGGGCTAGCCGAGGAATCTTCACTCGGCCGTGCCGATTGCTCATTTGGCCGTGCCAAAATATGCGAGAGCAAACACGGCCAGGGCCAAATTCCACACGGCCGTGCCAACATCTCATCTGGCCGTGTGGAATTCTACGAGAGCTCACACGGCCAAAATTATTTTCCACACGGCCGTGTGACATTCAGGGCTGGCCGTGTGAGCTGCCAGAACTCCGAAAATGACCTGTTTTCACTCCAGAACGACATACAACTCGTGAACACCCCTCAAGACTCAAAAAACACAAAAAAATCAAAAAAGAAAAGGTAAGAAAATGCAAACCTAGGTGGGGTTGCCTCCCCACAAGCGCTTCTTTACCGTCTTTTAGCTGGACGCCAGTCGATGGATGCTCAGTGAGGTGAAGGAGCAGGTGCCTTCAAGAGCGGATCCACCTCGCTCTTGAGGTACAACTTCAAATGATGGCCATGCACACGCCGAATGTGGCCACCACCATTTGCCAACTCAACTTGGCCATCCGGAAGGATGCAAGCGAGTGAATACTCGGATGGCCAAGGTGGGGGCAGACCAGCTCATAGTGGTCTCCGGCCTTCTTTCGAGCAGGTTTAGCTGCCTGCTGTTTCGGCCGCCACTCCTCCCTGATTTTTTTCTTCGATAACGGAGTGGACGGAAGTGGCGGCGAAGGTATGGGAGGCGGATCCTGCAAAATAGGCAACACAGGAGGATACACGACAGACTCGTGCTCCTGGTGAGACATAGCATGCAAAGGTGACGAAGCAGGACGAGTATTAGAAATTGAAAACGCTATTCGCTCCTCACCATCCCTCAAAACTAAGGTCCCATCATGCACATCTATGAGGGCCTTGGCGGTGGCCAGGAAAGGCCTTCCCAGTATCAATGGCACATCCACATCCTCATTTATGTCCAAAATCACAAAAATCAACAGGATAATTGAATTTGCCAACCTTAACCAGAAGGTCTTCCACTATGCCCCTAGGATGCACTACAGATCGATCAGCTAATTGAAGGCTCATCCTAGTAGCACGGGGTTCACCTAGGCCTAGTTTCTTAAACAGTTTATATGGCATAACATTTATACTAGCACCTAAATCCGCCAAGGACCTCTCTACATGCAAATTTTCTATAGAGCACGGGATAGTAAAACTACCTGGGTCCTTCTGTTTCTGCGGAAGCTTGTTCTGCAGAATGGCCGAGCACTCCTCGCTGAGCTCCACAATGGCCAGCTCGCTCAGCTTCTGCTTCTTTGAGAGAAGATCCTTCAGGAACTTCGCATACTTAGGCATTTGAGATAGTGCCTCCAGGAAAGGCACTTGGACATTCAGCTTCCTAAGCATGGCCATGAAGTTCTCGAACTCTGCCTCCAGCCTGTCTTTGTGCAACCGAGTAGGGAAGGGGAGTTTAGGGATATACTCCTTCACTACTGGTTGCGGTTTAGGTGCAGGCACCTCAACCTCCTTCTGTACTTCTTCTTCAGCTGCTGGAGATGCCGAGGCAGGGGCCTCTCTCTCTTGTGCTCGAGCAGGTGGATCAACAGTCATCTTGCCACTTCTGGTTATGATGGCATTGCAGTGCTCATTCGGGTTCTGAGGGTGAGGGATGGTCTGACCGGGCAGAGTACCAGGAGCCCTTTGTGCCACTGCTTGAGCCACACTCCCCAGCTGGGTCTGGATATCCTGCAAGACAGCCTGTGTGTTCCTCTGGCCAGTTTCCAGATCCAGGAATTTACCCGATGCCTTTTCCATGAACTGCTCGATAGTGTTGAATTTATGAGCACTAGAACAGGCGAGAGAACCCACCAATTCCCGCAGTTCAGCCATCTGATCATTCTGCACTGGGGCGGCAGGGGCTGCACCTGGCTGCTGGAAAGGTCGCGGCTGTGATGGAGCAGCATGCCCCTGCATGGGCTGGTAGAGAGACTGCTGTGGCTGCTGGAATTGCCCCTGTCTGGGCTGATATGGCGGCCTCTGGAAGCCCGGTGGTCCCTGGGGGACTGGTGGTCTGGAATTTGCCCCACCCTAGGAGAAGTTGGGATGCTGGCGCCACCCCTCGTTGTAAGTATTGCTGTAGGGGTCGTTGCGCCTAACATTGTTGATGAAGTTCACCTGCTCCTGGGGTGTTGTCGATTCCTTCATCGCTTGGCAGTCTTCCACAGTGTGATGGGTGCTCTCGCACCACTGGCAGAGCATCGCCTGCGGCTGTCCTGTACCTGCAATCAAACCAGAACGATCGATAGCTGACACCAGCTTCGATACCACCTGTACCAAATCAGATGACTGGGTGCCCACATCATGCACACCCCGTCCTGGTGCTCGTCTCGATCTCCTGGCAGTGCCCCAATCGTACCCGTTCTCCGCCATCTCCTCAAAGAGTTGATTCAGCTGTGGCGGTGTTTTGGTCAGCATGTTCCCGCCACAAACCGAATCAGTCAGCTGCTTGTCCTCCGGGAAGAGGGCGTGATAGAAGGTTCCCACCTTGAAAGCATCGTTGAAACCATGATTGGGACACCTCAGGAAGAGACTGTTGTATCTCTCCCAAGCATCCCGGATGGTCTCATCTTCATCCTGGGTGAAGTGGGTGATCTGCTTCTGCAAGTCCGCCGTCTTGGACGGAGGATGGTAGCGGGTAAGGAACTTGTCCGCCAGGTTGGCGAACGTGGTGATGGAGCCCGGAGGTCGAGTGTCTAACCACTCCTTGGCCTGCCCCTCCAGGGTGAATGGGAAGTATCTCAGCTGGATGGCATCTGCTGGGACCCCATTGATCTTGATTCCATCAATGAGCTCATGGAATCACCTGAGATGTGATCGGGGGCACTCCCCCTCTTTGCCACGGAACATCACCGAACCACGCAGCATGGTGATTACTGAGGTGTTCACCTCAAAATTATTGGCTGGGACATGAGGGTGTTGAATGGGTGACCTCATGTCTACAGCCCTGGCGGTCCAGTAATGTCCCATGGTCTGCTCCTCGGGATCGACCCCAGCATGGCCCTGTGGATCAGCCATCTCATCTTCTTCAGTGATCTGTAGCTGTTCTAGCGCCTCCTCCGCAGCCAGTCGCGCCTTTAGAGCCCGCTTGAAGTTTCTGCAGGTTCGTTCAAGCTCCTGGTCTAGTGGTAGTAGATCTCCCGACAGGCTACGGGTCATGCACTACCTGCACACAATCAGCAGAAGCTACCCGTGAAGGCACACAGGTGGAAGAGATAAAATGCAGTAAATAAAAGGCTAGAGTAACAAATTCTCACGTTTCCCCAATAACCTAGAGGGTTCCCCGGCAACGGCCCCAAAAATTTGACACGCCAAAACACATCACCAATCTACGACCAAGTGTAATCGCAGACCGGGAACGCAGTAACAGGCAAGTTATATTATCAACCCGGGGTCTAGATCTACTGCTTACACAGTGATTCTCTATTATCTAGCCAACTAAAGTAAGTGATTGTTGTTTAAAAGCAAAAGCAGAAAGAAAGCAGGAAATTATTCGGTTTTCTCAAGCAGGAAAGAGTCACTCGGGAATGAGTCCCCCTAGCTCCTTAGTTAGGTTTCAATTGTATTTCCCTGGGTTGATTTACTGTTGATTAGACTGCGGAAGATCCGACAGTAGCTTGGAATCTCTTAAGCTGACCAAGCCCTCTCAGTCTAACTACCCGGCAGACGACTAGTCTTCACCGGGATAGAAAGCTGAAGCAGTAAGAACAGAACTCCACTACTGGAATTGGATTCCAGTACAAAGCAGTAAACTGGCTAACTCTCGTATAGCCAATCTCCTACTATCGAATGATGAGACTCTAGCAACCTAATCAGATTCTATCTATCTCAGATTGCAGCAGGAATCAGGAAAAGTTGATCAGACTTCAATTGACTCAATAAACATGCATCATTCGATTAAAATCAAACAGTAATATCATCCCAAGTCATTACAATCAATCCCTAACACATAGAACTAGGGTTCTTCATCCCCAAGTGAGAGAGGGGTTCTACTCCATAGAGATAGAGAAGAAAACAAGATACAAAGCAATCATACTCATAATTATGGGAAGAATCTGCTCTGGGATGATGATTTCCACTCTTATGACGATCTCCAAGCTTGATTTGATGAAACCCAGCTCCAAGATGGCTTCTAGGATGTGTTCTTTGTCCTTTCTCTCTCTAGGGGTTTTTGCTCATAAAGTCCGATTCCCTCTCTTGCAGCCCGAAATTGGGTTAAAACCAGGAAATCCCGACTCACGCAGGCAGGGCCACACGGCTGTATGGCATACCCAGTTGCCTGTGTGAGTCAAAACGCTTCGTTCCAATTAGTTCAATCTTCTGGCTTCTCACACAGCCAGGGTCGCACGGCCGTGTGAGATTTCCATCTGCCCGTGTTTGCTCTCGGCGAAACTCGCACGGCCAAACCACTCCTTCACACGGCCGTGTGAACATCAGGGCAAGCCGTGTTTTCTCTCGCACAATCTCACACGGCCAAAGTGGTCACTTGCACGACCGTGTGAGTTGTGGGTGTGCCCGTGTGGCCTCCTTTGTGACTTGCCTCGCGCCCGATCTTCGTCCAATCGACCCCAAACTCGCTCCCAAGCCTCCATTCACGTACTAGGACCTGAAATATCACAAACAAGCACAACCTAGCGTGAAATCGGCCTAAAACACGAGAAATCACATCTCAAACGGTGTAAGAACAGGGGTAAAAACATGTGTAATTAACGGTCTATCACTACTTCAACCCATAGAGTGACCGACGAAGAAGATAAACCTGATCAGGCTTGCCAAGTCAGTATCCCGGAGGCCGCTCCATATAGACTGTCTCCTTCAACACACGCATTCTTCACGTGAAGCTGATACACGGGCCACCCCCGCAAAGACGCCACCGCCAATAAACATCGAACGGTGACCATCTCGGCCACATGAGAAAAAGTCTCATCAAAATCAATACCATACTCCTGACTGTATCCCTGAGCCACCACACGAGTTTTAAACCGTTCGATAGAGCCATCGGAAAGCTCCTTCACGTTATATACCCATTTACTTCCAATCACATGTACCGTGGGAGGAGGACGGGGTACAAGGTCCCAAGTGTGGTTTGCATGGAGAGCATCAACCTCCTCCGTCATAGCATTTTCCCATACAGGATCACCAACACCCTCGGCATAACGTGTAGGAAATTGGGAAGGAGCAACCTGAAATGAAAGAAAATGTTGGTGGCGAGGTGGCGGCTAGTCAAAAGTTGATCTAGTGGATCGACGGAGCTGAGGAGCTGGAGGCAACGACGATGAGGAAGGTGGGGAGGATGCCTCTGATATGAGTCGGACGTGGATGAAGATGAGGACGACTGGGTGCTGGGGCCGGGAGAATGGGGCACCTGGCTGTCTAGTGGCACGATATCATCATCTAGACCATCACCATCAACATCATGGAAGGACAGAAGACTCAAGGACAGATCAAACAATGGTGGACAATCAGTCGCAGGAGTGTAACACATAAGGCTTTGGAAGAACACCATTACAGGAAATACGAAGATGATGGATATTAGAGTCATAACAAAGGTCACCCTTAAGAATATCACTATACACGAAGAAGGCACAACAAATTTTCTTTCAGGTGATTTTAGAACATTCTCACAGGGGAAGAAGAACAAAACAAAGACACCCAAACACACGAAGACTGGAGTAAGGAGGATGAGTACCAAACAGTTTAAAAAATGGGCTAACCTGACCAAGAACCGGAGTGATCTGATAGTTAATTAAACGAACAACAGTAGCCACACTTTCAGTCCATAAGGAAGAGGGAACATGGGAGGACAAAAGAAGAGCACGAGTCACAGTACTTTTATTGTTGTCAAGCTTGTGTTACATGATTGTACGAAGCATATAGAGAACCATGTTCATTATGTTTGTGACTTGGTTCGTGATGGCGTGCTGACTCTGCATTACATTTCTAGTGAAGATCAAGTTGCTGACCTGCTCACCGAGGTCTTCTCTTCGAGTTGTCACTTGTATTTGTCAAGGAAATTAATGCTCTCTAGATGTGTCAATTTAAGAGAGGCAGTTAGACGGAATGAGATGTTTTCATTTGTACATATTTTTTGGGTCGTGTATATAGTTGAGAGGCCCATTAGTTGTAAACCAATGCAGCCCATGCAAGGAGAGCTAGCCGAGACTCTCCTAGGGTTCAGTTTACTTCTTCTTTCTTATGTGTATATAGACTCTGGCCTGTAACTTGAGTATGTATAATGTATGAAACATCATTAGTGAGATTGGGAGCTTGAAGAGTCATTACTCTTCCGTGGATTAGCCCTGGAATTTTGGGAATATCACGTAAATTGGCGCGTGTCTAGCTGTTTATTATTGTTTTTTAATTGCTACATCACACATTTAACGATCAACTTTTAGAGTTGACCGCCACATAAGCAAAAGTTAACGGAGTTGGACGGAGAGTGACCAAACTTGAAGCATCTACCTAATTTAAGTGACCACGAATGGAATTAAATATTTCTAGTGACCAAATGTGAATATTTTTAGTAATCTTCGTGACCAACCTTGCAATTAACTCATTTATATATACTAGCTTTGTAACGGCCATTCTTCGGAGTATTTACAATTATTAATCACATAAATTATAATTAAAATATAATTGAATTAATTGATTATTTGAATTTATGTAATTTTTTTAATATATTTTTTTATGTTTATGTCATAAGATTCACTTCAAGTTCATCTAAATTTTGATTTGATATTGATTTAACCAATGAAATATGGCTAGAGTTAATGGGAAACATGAAAAAGACAATCTAACTAACAAAGAAATACAACTAATAGTGACATAATTGACAACATGAGAGTTTTTTTTTTCTTTCTATGATACATACATAACAAGCTTTCCAATTTTATCATATGTGGCCAAATGGACCATACATAATCAATTCTCACAATAAAATATGAAGTTCAATGGATCCATGAATTCCCCTCCTCCTCCACCAATTTTTATCTTATTTGTTGATCATGACATAAATTTTTCATTGTGATTAAATGATTTGAATGAGAGAGGACATTTGGAGAATATCACCGGTCGTTAACTAAAAAATATAATGGTTTCTATTTGGTGTCGAAGCGACGTATCTCAAATTCAATCAGCAATATTGTAATGATTCTCATTGTTGATGTGACTTGAATCGGAATATCAGCCAGTACGACTCGAAGTCATACTCCTCTATAATCTGAAATCTCCTTGATATAGTGAAAATTGGCTCTCTCCTGCCCGTGGAGTTTCTAACACACATTGTGTTAGTGAACCACGTAAATCGTTTGTCGTGTGCTTTCTGTTTTCGTTTTCTTGCTTTGTCGAATCCTCCGATTTTCCGATCCAGCGTAGTTATACCACCCATGTAGCACTTACCATCATGGTAATCATAATTCTCAAAAGAGCTAATTCAAATATAGGAGACACACTAAAGTATGGGTACATTTAAGATAGGAACATTTACATATAAATTTCAATTTCTTATAATTTTTAAAGGAAATGAGTGCGTGAGTGAATGAATATAACTCTTTAGCCGAACAAATGTGTAAGATTGTTTTCATAGAAGTCTTCTTTAACGTTTACATTCATTACTCTAATCTAAGTTTTGCATGCAATTGTGAACAATTGTGTTTTCTAAACCTATTCAGTCACAGCATAACTCTTCAAAAGCAGAAAGAGTTAGGCGATAAAGAATTATAGAGTGGACAGAGATGCAATAGTGCAAGTAGAAATGGAGACACACTCCAATGTTGAACCCAGTTGCACTTGCTGTCAAATTGTCAAAATTTTTGGATATGGAAGCCATTTAAGAGCTTTAATAAATGATTATTTGAAACATTGTTACAAAGAAAATTTTGTCAATGCTAACTTTTACCACAAAAGTAAACGAAATGAAATTTCACATAATACGGTCATCCATACCTAGCTCGCCGCTTATATTTATACGAGAACTGATCAACTCCATTTAACTATCTAGTTGATAGACCGTTAATTACACATGTTTTTATCCCTGTTCTTACACCATTTGAGATGTGATTTCTCGTGTTTTAGGCCGATTTCACGCTAGGTTGTGCTTGTTTGTGATATTTCAGGTCCTAGTACGTGAATGGAGGCTTGGGAGCGAGTTTGGGGTCGATTGGATGAAGATCGGGCGCGAAGCAAGCCGATGAGGAAGCCACACGGGCACACATAACCATCACACGGCCGTGTGGAGGAGCAAAGTGGCCGTGCGAGTTTCGCAGAGAGCAAACACGGGCAGGATGGAAATCCCACGCGGCCGTGCGACCCTGGCCGTGTGGGAAGCCTGAAGATCGAACTAATTGATACGCCGCATTTTGACTCACACGGGCAACTGGGTGAGCCACACGGTCGTGTGGTCTGCCCGTGTGAGTCGGGAAATCTTGGTTTTTCAGCCAATTTCGAGCCACAAGTGAGGAGATCAGACTTTTTGAGCAAAAACAGAGCCCTAGAGAGAGAAAGGACGAAGAACACATCCTAGAAGCTATCTTGGAGCTGGGTTTCATCAAATCGAGCTTGGAGATCGTCACAGGAGTGGAAATTATCATCCCATAGCAGATTCTTCCCATTGTAATGAGTATGACTGCTTTGTACCTTGTTTTCCTCTCTCTCTATGGAGTAGAACCTCTCTCTCACTTGGGGATGAAGAACCCTAGTTCTATGTGTTAGGGATTGATTGTAATGACTTGGGATGATATTACTGTTTGATTTTAATCGAATGATGCATGTTTATTGAGTCAATTGAAGTCTGATCAACTTTTCCTGATTCCTGCTGCAATCTGAGATAGATAGCATCTGATTAGGTTGCTAGAGTCTCATCATTCGGTAGTAGGAGATTGGGTATACGAGAGTTAGCCAGTTTACTGCTTTGTACTGGAATTAGATTCCAGTAGTGGAGTTCTGTTCTTACTGCTTCAGCTTTTTATCCCGGTGAAGACTAGTCGTCTGCCGGGTAGTTAGACTGAGAGGGTTTGGTCAGCTTAAGAGATTCCAAGCTACTGTCGGATCTTCCGCAGTCTAATCAACAGTAAATCAACCCAGGGAAATACAATTGAAACCTAACTAAGGAGCTAGGGGGACTCATTCCCGAGTGACTTTTACCTGCTTGAGAAAACCGTATCAATTCCTGCTTTCTTTCTGCTTTTGCTTTTACACAACAAACACTTAACTTAGTTGGCTAGATAATAGAGAATCACTAAGTAAGCAGTAGATCTAGACCCCGGGTTGATAATATAACTTGTCACTTTACTGCATTCCCGGACTGCGATTATACTTGGTCGCAGTTTGGTGTTGTGTTTTGGCGTGTCAAGTTTTTGGCGCCGTTGCCGGGGAACCTCTAGGTTATTGGGGAAACGTGAGAATTTGTTACTCTAGCTTTTTATTTATTGCATTTTATCTCTTCCACCTGTGTGCCTTCACGGGTTGCTTCTGCTGATTGTGTGCAGGTAGTGCATGACCCGTAGCCATTCGGGAGAACTACTACCATTAGACCAGGAGCTTGAGCGAACCTGCAGGAACTTTAAGCGGGCTCTAAAGGCGCGACTGGCTGCGGAGGAGGCGCTAGCACAGCTACAGATCACTGAAGAGGAGGAGATGGCTAATCCACAAGACCATGATGTGGTCAGTCCTGGGGAGCAGACCATGGGATCCTACTTGACCGCTAGGGCTGCAGACATGAGGTCACCCATTCAACACCCTCATGTCCCAGCCAATAATTTTGAGGTGAGCACCTCAGTAATCACCATGTTGCGCGGTTCAGTGGTGTTCCGTGGAAAAGAGGGGGAGTGCCCTCGATCCCATCTCAGGCGATTCCACGAGCTCATTGATGGAATCAAGATCAATGGGGTCCCAGCAGATGCCATCCAGCTGAGGTACTTCCCATTCACCCTGGAGGGGCAGGCCAAGGAGTGGCTAGACACTCGACCTCCGGGCTCCATCACCATGTTCGCCAACCTGGCGGACAAGTTCCTCACCCGCTACCATCCTCCGTCGAAGACGGCGGACTTGCAGAAGCAGATCACCCACTTCACCCAGGATGAAGATGAGACCATCCGGGATGCTTGGGAGAGATACAACAGTCTCTTCCTGAGGTGTCCCAATCATGGTTTCAACGATGCTTTCAAGGTGGGAACCTTCTATCATGCCCTCTTCCCAGAAGACAAGCAGCTGATTGACTCAGTTTGTGGCGGGAACATGCTGACCAAAACACCGCCACAGCTGAATCTACTCTTTGAGGAGATGGCAGAAAACGGGTATGATTGGGGCACTGCTAGGAGGTCGAGGAGAGCACCAAGCCGAGGTGTACATTCTGTGGGAAACCATTCCTCTGATTTGGTGCAGGTGGTGTCGAAGCTGGTTTCAGCTATTGATCGTTTCGGGATGATTCCAGGGACCGGACAGCAGCAGGCGATGCTCTGCCAGTGGTGCGAGAGCACTCATCATATAGTGGAAGACTGCCAGGCGATGAAGGAATCGATAACACCCCAGGAGCAGGTGAACTTCATCAACAATGTTAGGCGCAACGACCCCTACAGCAATACTTACAACAAGGGGTGGCGCCAGCATCCCAACTTTTCCTGGGGTGGGGCAAATTCCAGACCACCAGTCCCCCAGGGACCACCGGGCTTCCAGAGGCCGCCATATCAGCCCAGACAGGGGCAATTCCAGCAGCCACAGCAGTCTCTCTACCAGCCCATGCAGGGGCATGCTGCTCCATCACAGCCGCGACCTTTCCAGCAGCCAGGTGCAGCCCCTGCCGCCCCAGTGCAGAATGATCAGATGGCTGAACTGCGGGAATTGGTGGGTTCTCTCGCCAATTCTAGTGCTCAAAAATTTAACACTATCGAGCAGTTCATGGAAAAGGCATAGGGTAAATTCCTGGCTCTTGAAGCTGGTCAGAGGAACACACAGGCTGTCTTCCAGGATATCCAGACCCAGCTGGGGAGTGTGCCTCAAGCAGTGGCACAAAGGGCTCCTGGTACTCTGCCCGGGCAGACCATCCCTCACCCTCAGAACCCGAATGAGCACTGCAATGCCATCATAACCAGGAGTGGCAAGATGACTGTTGATCCACCTGCTCGGGCACAAGAGAGAGAGGCCCCTGCCTCGGCATCTCCAGCAGCTGAAGAAGAAGCAGAGAAGGAGGTTGAGGTGCATGCACCTAAACCGCAACCAGTAGTGAAGGAGTATATCCCTCAACTCCCCTTCCCTACTCGGTTGCACAAAGACAGGCAAGATGGAGAGTTCGGGAACTTCATGGCCATGCTTAGGAAGATTAATGTCCAAGTACCCTTCATGGAGGCACTTTCTCAAATGCCTAAGTTCGGGATCTTCTCTCAAAGAAGCAGAAGCTAAGCGAGCTGGCCACTATGGAGCTCAGCGAAGAGTGCTCGGCCATTCTGCAGAACAAGCTTCCGCAGAAGCAGAAGGACCCAGGTAGTTTTACTATCCCGTGCTCTGTAGATAATTTGCATGTAGAGAGGTCCTTGGCGGATTTAGGTGCTAGTATAAATGTTATGCTGTATAAACTGTTTAAGAAACTAGGCCTAGGTGAACCTTCAATTAGCTGACCGATCTGTAGTGCATCCTAGGAGCATAGTGGAAGACCTTCTGGTTAAGGTTGGCAAATTCAATTATCCTGTTGATTTTGTGATTTTGGACATAAATGAGGATGTGGATGTGCCACTGATACTGGGAAGGCCTTTCCTGGCCACCGCCAAGGCTCTCATAGATGTGCATGATGGGACCTTAGTTCTGAGGGATGGTGAGGAGCGAATAACGTTTTCAATTTTTAATACTCTTCCTGCTTCTTCGCCTCTGCATGTTGTATCTCACCAGGAGCACGAGTCTGTCGTGTATCCTTCTGTGTTTCCTATTTTGCAGGATCCGCCTCCCATACCTTCGCCGCCACTCCCTCCCACTCCGTCATCGAAGGAACAGATCAAGGAGGAGTGGCGGCCGAAACAGCAGGCAGCTAAGCATGCTCGAAAGAAAGCCGGAGACCACTATGAGCTGGTCCCGCCCCCACATTGGCCATCCGAGTATTCACTCGCTTGCATCCTGCCGGATGGCCAAGTTGAGTTGGCAAATGCTGGTGGCCACATTCGGCGTGTGCATGGCCACCATTTGAAGCTGTACCTCAAGAGCGAGGTGGATCCGCTCTTGAAGGCACCTGCTCCTTCACCTCACTGAGCATCCACCGACTGGCGTCCAGCTAAAAGACGGTAAAGAAGCGCTTGTGGGGAGGCAACCCCACCTAGGCTTGCATTTTCTTACCTTTTTCCTTTTGATTTTTTTGTGTTTTTTTTGAGTCTTGAGATGTTGTTCCAGAGTCGAATGTCGTTTTTGAGTGAAAACAGGTTGAATTTGGGGCTCCAGCAGTTCACACGGCCACGCCTGAAACTCACACGGCCCTGTGGATTTTTTTCCATTGGCCGTGTGAGCTCTCGGCAATTTCCACAAGGCCAAAAGTGCAACTCGCACGGCCGTGTGGATTGGCCTGGCCTGGCCGTGTGGCCGACACGGGCAACTCATTTTATCGCACGGCCGTGTGGATTTTTTCCATTGGCCGTGCGAGCTCTCGGCAAATTCCTCACGGCCAAAAGTGCAACTCGCACGGCCGTGTGGTATTCCTCGGCCTGGCCGTGTCGGCCAAGACGGGCAAAAGTGCACCTCAATTGGCCGTGTCAGCCTGACCGTGTCAGCATCGACTTCAACAACCTTGGCGACGAGTAGGTTGTACTCGTTGCCCATCTCAGTGTGTTTTGTTTTTCGTTTTAGACTTTTGTGTGTTTGCTCCATGTGTGAGGAGCTTGAACTTAGTGTCGTTTGTTTTTATTTGTTTTTTCTTTTGTGGATTGTTTATTTTGTAGCCATCTAGGCTAACACTTATCCCTAACGCACAGTGTGCTAGTGTGTTCTTGGTGTTCGATTGGTGCAGAACTGTCCATCTTCCTGTTTGTTTCTCGCTGACTGGTCCACTTCCAGTCCCCCAGCATTGTTTCAATCCGGTAACATCGTTCCCCTTATCTCTCCCTCTACTCCATTGAGGGCAATGTCGTGGTTAAGTGTGGGGGGGGTGCTTTGTATCGGTTGGAATATATATTTGTGTGCTTGGAGCCTAGTCCGCTGTCCGAATATTATGATTTGAGGGCTCCAAGTACTGCTGTTTGATCATATTGGCACTGTGTTTTGATTGATGAATTGAATGGTTTTCGGATTGATGCATGACAGCTTGATTGTGACTAGGACAACCTATGATGAGGACTGAGACGTGCCGTAGAATTGTGTAGGGGTTCAGTTTTTCAACTGTTTGCTTACCAACTGTGACTTGGATTAATTACTTGTTCTTGAAAGTCATTTATGCATCTAGTTCAGGGTATCAGAATGTGAGATAGAGCATATAGGTAGCCATGTGAGATTTGAGCCTGCTCGTTTCTTTCTTGTGCGATAGATCCCTCTTCCATGATGTGTAGCATTCACGTTGTCACTAGCTAAGATGATGGGGGCATAGGATTAGCCCACGACCAAATTTGACTGTCCTGATGTGTCATATCCCCTAGTCAGCCCCTTTGAGCCGTGTGTTATCCTTTCTTTTGGTCTATAATGAAAAATCACCCTTTTTGCATCTTTTAGAAGGTTCCACAGAGTGGTTTTTACATATTCTCTGCTGTTTCTGCTAAATTTGATGTGAGTGTTGGAGGTAGTGCTTAAAAGTTGGGCAGGTATTTGAAATATGTGCAGAAGTGGTGGCTCTCTTAAGAAATGAAAAGAAAATGAAAGAAAAACAAAGAAAAATTGGAAGCAAAAGAGAGCCACTACCAAAAATCTGAATAATGCCCATTAAGTAGTGTTTCTTAGCAGTCTGGCTTGGAAATACTAACATTGATACCTCCTTAGCTTTTGTGCTCTTGAGATATTGAATAATGCAGAATAGCAGAAAGGAAATACTGGTTTGTTTGACTGTGATTGTGTGGGTTTGGAAATGTGGAACCTTGTGCTTTGAATGCTTCCACCACCTAAAAGGCCTTTTCCCCATGTCCAAGACCCTAGCCAGTCATTTGAACCTGTGTCTAAGACCTCCTGATTAGTTAGTGGTGACACCCCATATGTGAACTCTAGCATTTAGAGGCTGCCATCATGGTGAAGAGATGTTAGGGATTGAGAGAAAGAGCATGCACATTTTTCGCATCAAATTGTCCCGACCCCACTGGTCGAGAGTGAGTGATTCATTTTCATATTCTATATACTCTTGTACCCCGGTGAGGACCTAGATTACTCGGTCTCTATTCTGATGTCTTGAGTTGGATGTATGAGTTGACTGTTTTGAGTAAGTGGTTGAGTCAAGTCTAGGTTGGTTGGTGAACAGAAGGGAGACTCTTCCTTTACTCGATTTTGCTGCACTCGAATGTCCTTTGTGGTGGTTGTCCAGGTTGCTATTGAGATTGTTCATGTATTGATGTTTGAAAACCAGTACGATTCACGTGTTCTGTGCCTTTATGACTTGTCCCCAAAGTTGGTTGATTGAAATATGTGAGCTTACCTTGTATCTGACTTGGTTTGCTTGGGGACAAGCAAAAGGTTAAGTGTGGGGGAGTTTGATAGACCGTTAATTACACATGTTTTTACCCCTGTTCTTGCACCGTTTGAGATGTGATTTCTCGTGTTTTAGGCCGATTTCACGCTAGGTTGTGCTTGTTTGTGATATTTCAGGTCCTAGTACGTGAATGGAGGCTTAGGAGCGAGTTTGGGGTCGATTGGATGAAGATCAGGCGCGAGACAAGCCGATGAGGAAGCCACACGGGCACACATAACCATCACACGGGCGTGTGTAGGAGCAAAGTGGCCGTGCGAGTTTCGTAGAGAGCAAACACGGGCAGGATGGAAATCCCACACGGCCGTGCGACCCTGGCCGTGTGGAAAGCCTGAAGATCGAACTAATTGATACGCCGCGTTTTAACTCACACGGGCAACTAGGTGAGCCACACGGCCGTGTGGCCTGCCCGTGTGAGTCGGGAAATCTTGGTTTTTCAGCCAATTTCGAGCCACAAGTGAGGAGATCGGACTTTTTGAGCAAAAACAGAGCCCTAGAGAGAGAAAGGACGAAGAACACATCCTAGAAGCTATCTTGGAGCTGGATTTCATCAAATCGAGCTTGGAGATCGTCACAGGAGTGGAAATCATCATCCCAGAGCAGATTCTTCCCATTGTAATGAGTATGACTGCTTTGTACCTTGTTTTCCTCTCTCTCTATATGGAGTAGAACCTCTCTCTCACTTGGGGATGAAGAACCCTAGTTCTATGTGTTAGGGATTGATTGTAATGACTTGGGATGATATTACTGTTTGCTTTTAATCGAATGATGCATATTTATTGAGTCAATTGAAGTCTGATCAACTTTTCCTGATTCCTGCTGCAATCTGAGATAGATAGCATCTGATTAGGTTGCTAGAGTCTCATCATTCGGTAGTAGGAGATTGGCTATACGAGAGTTAGCCAGTTTACTGCTTTGTACTGGAATCTAATTCCTGTAGTGGAGTTCTGTTCTTACTGCTTCAGCTTTCTATCCCGGTGAAGACTAGTCGTCTGCCGGGTAGTTAGACTGAGAGGGCTTGGTCAGCTTAAGAGATTCCAAGCTACTGTTGGATCTTCCGCAGTCTAATCAACAGTAAATCAATCCAGGGAAATACAATTGAAACCTAACTAAGGAGCTAAGGGGACTCATTCCCGAGTGACTCTTACCTACTTGAGAAAACCGTATCAATTCCTGCTTTCTTTCTGCTTTTGCTTTTACACAACAAACACTTAACTTAGTTGGCTAGATAGTAGAGAATCACTGAGTAAGCAGTAGATCTAGACCCCGGGTTGATAATATAACTTGTCACTTTACTGCATTCCCGGACTGCGATTATACTTGGTCGCAGTTTGGTGTTGTGTTTTGGCGTGTCACTAGTTGTCACATATACCTAAGTTATGCTTTAACTCATGTGGCAGCTAAGAACTATATAGTCACTACCATGTTTACTAGGTATCACAACTAGGGGTGGCTATACGGTCCGGTCCGGTTAAATTGGCCCGAATTGACCCGGTCCCAGTCCGGTATTTTCGTGAATATAAGGACCAAAAATTGGATTGAATACAGTCCGGGTTTGATCCGGTCCGGTCCCAATTCGGTTTTGATTTTAGATTGAACTTGAGGGAATTTGAGTGGTCTAAGGACTCAAAGAGTGAGTAGTTGGTTAAGTTTTGGGTGTTGGACTATCTTATCCGGTCTTTATTCAATTTTTGATATGGTCCCAAACGGTTTATACGGTCCCGATTCGGGTTATACGGTCCGGTTTCGGGTAAAACCAAATAGCCCGGACCAAATAGCCAGCCCTAATCACAACTAACTAAATGTGTCCATTCAATTCCATGTCCCAAATTAGCAAGCACTTTAACCAACCTAGCCAAAATCAAGTTTTGATGGAAAGTTAATTAGTAGCCATTCATAATCAACAATAATGTAACTTTCTATAGATAAATAAGGGGCTAATTGCATGGTTGGTCACTGAGATTACAAAAAACGTTCAAGTTTGGTCACTCGAAATATTTAAACTCATTGGTGGTACTTCAGTTTACTCAAACCGTTCACGTTTGGTCACTCTCCGTCCAACTCCGTTAACTTTGACTGATGTGGCAGTCAACTCTTAAAATTGACCGTTAACTTAGTGACGTGGCAACTAAAAAATTATTAAAAATAAAAAAATAAAATTTATATTTTCCACCTCATTATTACATTCATTAAAAATTAAAATAAATAAATAAATAAATAACCTAATACCCGACCCAACTAAACCACGAATTAACGAGTTCTCAATTAATTGAGCAGAAGCAGCAGCATGTAAGTAAACAATCCATCATCAACAACAGCAACAAATACCGAATCGAAATCGATCCGTAACTTTCAAGCAAGTCAAAAGCGCGCGGGCTCGTGAATCAAATTCTTCAAAGAGGTAATTACCTTGGCTATCGACGACGGTGAATCGCGGAGGGGAAGAGTGGATAGCGAGATAACGGAGAGGTGAAGTGACAGTCGGATACTAACTAGGGTTTCTGCAGTGCCGCCGAACAAATCGAAGAAATGGGGAAAAGCGGGGAAAAGGAGGCGAAATAACCCAGTTATTGATGAACTCCATTCTATTCACCATGAATTGATATCGGAGTTGAAATCTTCTACTCGCCCAACTTAAAATCCCCAACAATAAAAACCGTAGTGCCAAGAGATACCTGAAGATTGATTTTCAATGACAGTCTTGTACTGGGAAGTGAAAGGCGCAAACTACTGCACGATGGATGAAATTTCGGAGAAGTTAGAAAGAGAAAAGAACAAAGATAAAAAAACGCAAAATTTAAATTTAAATTGAAAAATGCAAAGATACAACACGTAGTTACATAATTAGTTTCTTCCATGTTAGCCAATTACCCATTTACCTTTAGCAAAAATTAAGGAGAGAGCGGGAATTTAAAATTGAGAAATTTACATGAAACTCTACTATGAAAATAGAAGTATCAAGCTCGATAAAAATACATACGGTAGACTCAGTGAGCTTGCTAATTATGATGAAAAAGTCCTCTGATTTTCAGAGATTAACTTTGTCTATTTTTTGTATAAAAAAGAATACAATAAATTTGTTTAGTGCAACTGCTTGTGATTGTTATCTTTGTTTGAAGAGACCCGGGTTCAAATTTTGATATTGCTATATTTTTATGAAATAAATAATAAATGTGTAAAAGAGAAAAATGACATTCCTACTTTCACGGAGAAAAGTACACAAAACTCTACCATATATTAATGGAGGACATTTCTTCGAAATTGCTTGTTGGTGCAAGGTTTCGACATGGGCTCCATTCCGTAAGGGGTTGCATGACCAAGGGTTCAAGGCCCTTTGTAGCACTGGTAATATGGGCGCAAGTTGTAGCAACTACTAAGAATTGTCCCGGCCTTTTTGGTTGAATTATCAGTGGGCTGAGATCCGGTATATACTTTTGTTTCTTCTTTCTACAAGGCCCAATCACGAATCCTAGGGTTTCATGCCCTTTTCCCGGTAACGTGACTTTTCGATGCGTCAGTTACTCACAAATTTGAATCTCGATGGTATGGATATCTCGATGGTTTTCATCGGTTGGTTGAATACAGGGATAGCAACAAACCCGAATCCACGGGTATCATTCCGACCCAAACGTGGGTAAAATCCGTGTTGACGCGTTTTAGGTCGGGTTTGGGTTTAAACCCGTTCACTATTCACCGGGTTGGGTTTGGATATAGGTAAACCCGGCCCATGGATACCCGCCCACACCCATATAATTAATTTTCTCGGTAAAAACGACATGATCGATTTAAAACCTCTATGCAAAATGACGTTGCTTTAGTGAACTCAATTAACAGAAAAGTTATTATTTATTTTATAAGTTTAATAGTTAAATGCTTATGTTATTTATTGGATTCAAATATAAATTTTTAAGTATTAACAGTTAATGTTGTTATTTAAATTTATATATTTATTATTTTATTTGAAATGTCGTATTTTATTTAAATATGAATAATAATTTTAATTAAATTGTTTTCAAATATGTATTTTATACAATTAATTTAGTTTGATGTTAATGATTTTTCACATTACAATATATTTAGATACACCAAAATGAACAGGCACAAACAGATTGTACCAGTGCTCGAACCATTCCACATCGATACAATGATATAAACTTATTTGACAACCTTGAATATTTGAATTTTCTCATCGAACTAAATCTAATTTTGTAAATGAAATTATTCTCAACGGTATACACGACATTATATTATAATTATATATATAAACAATATTATTTAGCAAATTTTCACTAAGACACTTTTATTCTTTGCGAGATAAAATTATGTTCATTTGTATACAATAGATTTTAATTTCTAATTTTATTCCTCCAATAGCTTTTATCCTAATAAGTTGGCTAATAATCATATTTTCTAGCAATAAATTAAGCGGTGAACGTTACTTAAAATTGAATGAGTATACAATTTGCTGGTGTTCTTGATATTTTGAACGATAATTATCTTTTACAAACTTTTTGAAATATGAGTGATTAAAATTAATAATAAAAAAATTATTTCATCATACATTTTCTAAAAAAAATTGGACTTCCTTACAGAGATTTCTGGTTTCAGGCAATACAACTGTGAAAGGTGGTGAACTAATAAAGACACCTTTTAGCACCTTTAAGCTATAACGTTTATCAAGACAATAAATGGACAAATTGAAACTGCAGTCGTAAGAACATGAGCTTGCTTCTTTTCTCCTGTCGGTGTGATACGTAACGTAACTCAAACCAGGATGACGGTTTAATAAATAGTGCCATTCAGCGAACCGGGCCATATTCCCTACAAAACCCACATCAACACAAACTCCTCATCGATCCCTCTTTTTGACCCACGCGAAAAGGAAAACAAAATGATAGGCAAAATTATGATGCGGCAAAACTTTCATGTTTGTTAATATAAGATTTTATATCATTGACATTTGAAATAAAAAAATAATCGACAGTAAATAGTAATTGAATTGACAACAAATTAAATAGCCAGGTCACAAAAATAGAAAAGACAGGAGAATTTTAAATCGACGGTCCCTGGCTTCCAATAAAAACCACGTGCGTACCCTAGATAGGCAATACCCCCATTTTGTAATGTTTTGTTTTTTAGGAGAAGGAATCAAATGATTGCAGTGGGCGCTCAGTACAATCGGGTTTTAACTGGCAAATAGCCAAATAGTAATATCCCTCGACCAGTATATGACGACAAGTAGTACTGAACTGAAGGCGACAACACATATATCTATACAGTAAGATAACCCAAAAAGAATCTGACAGCGGAAATTAGCCACAGGTTTGGTTCGGTTCCTTTTTTCATCCCATGAACACGCGGCTACACGTATGTTTTCTCTCATTTATTTGTTCTCCGTCTCTTTGCTTATTTGCTTTCTGATTTTCTCTTTTCACACTTTTGGATTGACGTTACCATTAAGGGTGAAAGTATGGTTTGTGGTTTGCGGTTTCGTACCAAATCGCACGTAGTTTGGTTAATCACTAACCGCATTTTGTAGTTAGTAAAATCGTGAATTTTGTAGTTAGTGGTTCACTACAATAATCGTACAAACCAAATTTATCAATTGAAGTCATATTTTTATACGTATTAGGATGTAGTAATTAATATTAATAAGTATGGTTATCAAATGCAAAGGAGTTGTCTAAAGTTTAGTAGTTAGCACCATAACAAGTTATTTGTCATATTGTTGAATTAGTTATATAAGATCCTAACTTCTACTAATTATTGAATTGTTGACATCTTACTGAATAAGAATGATGTTGTAATTAATATTCATAAGTATGGTTATTAAATAGTTTTATCGGTTTTTTATTTTGCCCATGATTTTCTCCACATATTCTATTGCTCTACTCTTTGTATATATTTTATTCAATATATATTTCATACGTACGTGATATCTGATTCTCATTTTTTTACCGTTTATGTCATTTTTTGTATCTCTCTAATTTATTTTCTTCAATTGATAACAAACTTATAAATTATTATTATTATTATTATTATTATTATTATTATTATTATTATCAGGGCCGTCCCATGATATTTGGAGGCCCTGTTCGAAAATTTTAAATGTGTCCCTAATTTTTTCCCATAAATTTATCAAAATTAAAAATTAGTAAATAATTATAAAAAAAATACTTAAGTTCAGAAAAAGATTACATCAGGAATAAATGATCTCGTTTCTAGTTTGACCAAGAAACCAAGACCGAATTCCCAGCCCTAATAGGGAGGATAGTAAATCTGGAAGGAAGAGAAAATGGATAGAGCGCAAAAATTGAACGGAGAAATGAAAATAGTCTAAATTGATCGAGAGGTGGGTGCAGGGTTGTCTACTAGATCGTGGAGGCCCTATTTCAAAATCTAGACGTGGTCCAAATCGACTTTTAACTATAATAAAACTAAAATAATTATAATAACGTTATTCAAAATGTAACATCTTTCTATATTGTTTAAATTAAAATTATCTATTATTTTTTCAGATTTTCGTATTCTCCATGAGATCCTTTTCAATTGTTATTATAGCTAAAATTATCTATTAAACTCATCATCATACTCATAATCAATCAATCATACACTAAAAATACAACCTACAATATATGATCGGTAACTAACGAATCTTAGGCCCCTAATATTCTGAGGCCCTGTGCCG